CATCAAGCAAATATTTTTTTAATGGGGTCCCATCAAGCAAATATCTCTCACATACGGCCAATAAGTAAGAGATGTTTGCAAGCATTAGCTGGACAACAAGCGCAACAGCGTTGAGAAAAAGCCGATACTGTTGACATCCATGATGATGCAACTACAATTAACTTGGAAGTAGTTTCGCGTATTGGAGGAGTCGTTTTCTATTTGAAATAAGCTTGAAATAATAAAACAGGGGGAGCATGATACAATATGGATTATTTCCCCCTTCTCTTGGGTTTTAAACTATCAGCAAGTCTTAGACTGAATCTCATTTCATTTAACGGCCATCTTTGTTAGAAAAAATTTGGAAATCTTGCAACTATGTGGAAATTTTTTCTGTTCCTTGATTTGACAAGAGACAAAGAAAGCACATACTTTGAGTTCATGTTATATCCATATACATTTATATACAATACTTGATGAATGCTGAATACAATAATGATAATTTTTCCATTTTTATGACATTTGGTATATTCTATCAATATTTATACGCGTAAGCAAATAAATTATTTTTATACACCAAGATAATTTTTATAGCATCGAAAACTGTAATCCTTAAATGTTCATTATACACATATATCATATTTTCTAACTATAACTTAACAGACTGTTCACGTAGTCTTCTATACATAGACTTTGCCCATCTTGATTTTTTTCTAATCTCCTACAGTTTTTAAATTCAAGTCATCATGTGCATCTGAAAATTATTTTCACTTGCTTTCATTCTTCATCAATTACAGTCAAAATCAGGTGTCCAAATTTACAATATTTGAATATTTTATATGATTCTATATAAAGGATGAATATATTGATACAAGATTTACAAAGGTGAATTCGACCTTTTAAACAAAAGATAAACTTTAATAGTAACACAGTGATTTTTACATCTCACTTCACCTAATTTATCCAGATTATTTGGATGAATATACTACAAGCAACTTTAACGGCTTACTTTGATTTACCTGTTGTGAATGTTTTTCAATGTAAAAAGCATTCAATCCTTTATGTAAAAATTTTAACACATGTTATAAAATTATGACTTAGTCTACCACAAACAAAACATTTAAACCTTTTGCTACAAATAATTATATGAAGAGTTCAAAGTTATGTATTTTGAATACAGAAGACTGATCTTCTTGTTATAAACATAATGCAATCCGATATGTCAAAATATTGGATTGATAGTTCTTTATAACTTTAATGATACAATAAAAAAAAAAGATGATGTCTTTGTAAAAGTATAGATAGCGACCCCATTTATCAAAACCCGTATTGATAACTTCATATAACTGAAAAGACTATAATTACAAAAAGTAAATGTTTTGTCATTTATATGATCTTACTTATCAGCATCTAGTAAGATGAATAATTTGACCTTCCAATGTTAAACTGCATGTAATATTGGTAATCACTACCTTTGAAATCACAAGATAACATTTGTATTGCAAACAATTGATTAGGTATAATCTCTCTTGATTGCTATGCATATAAAAATATACTCTTCGTTAGAAATATTCACCTTCACATCAAATGAAATTGGAACCGTCACATTCCTAATGACATAAAAATTATGTGTGTTCAAAATAATGTTGACATGTACAAAATTCCATTATTTTTATATAAAAACCTGCAAATTATTTTTGTCAAACAATGTATCAAATCATGACAATATTTCATTTGTTAGTTTAAATTCAAGTTTGATGTTAACTCTTATTAGCTTAACATATTAAGTTATAAAGTAAGACAAGCATTTGCTCTCCCTAAGAATTATTTAGTTTTCAGTAAAATTGTTTTTTGTTCTTGCAGACATAGTTGGACAATAGCAAATCGCGGAACTTGGTGATGCCATTATGTGTTTGCTTGTGCTTTTCTTTGTTTTTGTTTGTGGTGTTTCAGATTTTCTTGTTTCTTGCTATAACATCATTGATATCAAGATTTATATAAGCATTTTACATAAAATGTTGATGTGAATTATAAAATACGTTAACAGAAAAAAATTAAAAAATTAAATTAAATGATTCTTTATATAATGATAAAAATAAAATTTGATAAATAAAAAATTGTGATACACTATTTGATGAGGTTGAACTTATGTAATATAAAAAAAATGACTAATTATATTTACACTTATTTAAAGTTGTTAAGTTTTATGATGAAGTATGAATTGATTGAGATACAATGACATATTGAATTTTTTTTATTATTTTAATCTACATTCACAAAATCATTATTGATAATTGATACAATATATTAAAATTATTGAATTTATTTTTAACTTTCAATTAAGCTTTATCATAAATATTAGAGCATTGTTATATGTTGTTCATCATCCAATATAAGGTGTTTAATTTTAAAAAAATTGATAGAATAATATGGTGTTATTATTTTTTTTTTTTAAAATAACATAGCGTTGAATAATGAAAGCCTAATGTTGAATAAACTATTAATCGTATGAGTATCTAGAATTAGATTTTTAAGATTAATATACATCCACTTGCTATCATTCAAAATTTGATTTCTTGCAAGTTTCATTCTCTCTCAATTATTGTATATTGCAGCTCCATAGTAGTTATTTATTCAAAATTATTGACAAAAGCTTGAGATTCTTTAAAAAATGAAATGTCACAAACTCTTATATCACAATCTTTAAATCCACAATTCATATCATATAGAATTTTCACTAATTAGATTGAACAATCTTCTGATAAAAAATATTGGCTGATTTTTATTGTCTTATGCAATTATTTGATGCTCATAAAAAATAAGTGCTTTTATTAAATGCTTCAATTATCGCTTTTCACAAAATTTGTTCAATTTATGTTCTAAGAACTTTAGTTGTATGCATGATTTAGTTATAAGATTAAACAAAAAGTTTATCATTGTAGATTTAGTTTTTATTAAATTTTACTATCAAATTTATGCTTGGAAAAAATCTAAAATTTGCAACACTATTTTTTTTCATATCAAAGTTTAAATTCAAATAGAAAAGACTTTGATCGTATGTTGATTTTGATTGGTTTGTCTAAGTGGTAGAGTTTACATTGGTTACACTAAATCTAAATGTTGACTTAGTGACAAGTGAAGATTTTAGAAGTTTTAAGATTTTCAATGCAATATTCATATAGAAATTTACAAAAAAAATACTTATAGAAAGTTTAGAAAGTCAATTGATGTATTAACATGTGATGAAAATTTTTCATCTATATCAAGATTTCTTTAAAAAAAAAATTTAAAGAAAAATACCATGAATAATTAGAATAATTTTTCAATTATTCTAAATAGATAGATTACATATCATCAGGAAAAATTTTAAGTCTTTGTGTGAATATTTGTTTCATCACTGAAAATAAAATTTTACTAATCATCTTCGAGTGTCAATGATTGTTGGTCTCAAGTGATGAATGAAATGATTGTGTAAACGTATGCTTGAAGATGGAGATTAATTTTTATGAAGATGGAGATCATATATATGGAGATTAATTTTTACAAAATTAGGATGAGCATTAAAAAATCCATCTAAGTTAAACTTGAATGACAATAAATTCAGATGTTACAACTCATACATAACTTTAGTATATGCTAATTATTTGACAAATATAGATTTAAAAACTAAACTTAATCATTACTAAATAAACTTAGCCTTGATCAACTCTTTTGCTAAGTTTACAAGTAATTAATGCATATAACTACATGTTTTACAACACAAATCTATTTGAAGTTTATCTATTCAAGTCTACAACATGAAATCAATACATTCAGTTCAATTCTTCCCTTCTTAGTAGACAATGAGTTGTAAGCTTGGAGTTGTTTTCATGCCAAAGCTTTGCTTTGGCTTAGGGTTATTTTTCTTTGTGATGCTACATTATATGCTTCATTATTGTTGTTGCACAATATTCTTATGCTCGAAAAGCCTCAACACACTTACTTCATACTTTTTCCGAATGCAAACACAATTAGAAAAGTGTGATTTGGATGATTCTCCTTTATAAATGAACAACAAAATCCAAACACTAATTTTAGTTCAGTTTTCTCAATTCAAATAGACTTGAGTTGTTACTAAAAGTAATCGTGAGAATATAGTATATGAAAATGCATTCTACCTATTCTATACTCATGTTGAATTTTGAGTATAGATTTTGAAAACACATACATAATATGTGTTTTCAACAAATAATAACCATATTTTGGGAATTGATGAAACAGAATATGTTGGCTAAACTGGATTGAGTGTAATTTTAAGGGGTTAAATTCATACAAGATGATAAATCTAAAAATTATGCACAAATCTTAGTAGACGGATTATCAAAAGATTGGTTACATGATTTTACTTGATATTCTTGTGGTTTTAATGAAATACATGCTCTTCAAAACATCAAATGGCGTGAGTAAAACACAACATATTATCACATGTCTTCACTCAGAAATATTGATATAGTAAAGTTTACAAATAAGACTGTCAAATATAACAATCGTTTGATTGATTTGATAAGGTGGAATGGAATAATGTGAGGGAGGAAAGACTAAGCGGATGCAATACTTGGCTCTAACAATGAAAGGCTGGATTCACTGTGTTAAGAAATGTGTTAACCATGGTCGTGAATATATAGAAGGTACTTTCCACTCATACTTAGCGCATGTTGGTTCACTTTATATATTTCATTCATTTGTTTCTTGAAATTTTTCACTTCCTATATATACTTTATTCGTTTCTTGGGACTTTGGACTCATATCTGTCGATTGTTTAGTTCTTGAAAATTGTACTTTCCATCTATCATTCCTTGATTCACGAAAATCTCTTCAAGTCAAACCGTTATTTGTCCGAGGAACATAACCGTCGACTGCGTTCGACATCCAACAACCATTTTCAAACCCATCGCTCAAGTCCAACAAACAGCCTTACTTAGAAAGACAACAACACGTCCCAAGTTTGACTTGGCCTACGGCATATCCCACCTGGCGCCGACATGGCCCCTCATTGCCCACATAACGCCGGGCAAATGATTCGGACCCGACGGCATATGCCTCGCATTCGAGTGACCAATCATCTCCTGGAAGATTTCGGTGGACCACGGCAGCCGGGCCAGATCAGATCGCAGGCGTCCACTTGGCTGGTACTATGCACTTCGCACTCGGAGTTACGGCCGGTACGGGTTATCGGGTATGGGTGAGCAAGGATCCTTCAGTGCAAACTTCTATCCTTTGTGCATAGAAGTTTAGTGGAAAATTCATTTTCCACGTCAAGATTTTGTACGATGAACGAACTTGGTAGGAGAGAGTGGCTGTATTCAGCAAGTCTGCGATGAAAAGAACTGATTTGGGAAAATTTTGCTTGAACGAAAAAGATTCTATCACTTTCCTATAATGAAGCTTAATAAGGGATCAGGTGACTAAAAAAAATAAAATGATGTTACATCACTGTAGGTTTCAATGATCTAAAAGAATCTTTATGAAACTGGAAAGCAAAAAAACACCGAATTATAGATCAGTTCATGAAAATATATTCTAGAACTTTAGTGCATAAATATGAGTACTTTTATACATAGATGAGTTTCAATAAAAAAAATGTGAATCGGAATCAGGGTGAAGGATCGTTGAGTTTCGACTTAGAATATTGTCGAAGCTGAGGTCACCATGATAGCTCTTGTGTATGACTGACAAGTCAGTCGGAAATAAAGGCTCACGTTTAGAATGAAAGTAGCCCAGACAGGAATTGTAGATAAAACCAATCAGTGTTGGCGTCGGTAACTAACTATTTGGCAGTTTCCTTCGACTCCACGTATCTTTACCGATTGGCAATATTCCTGGTGCGTTTTATGACTAACAGGATATAGACCATAATCTCGCTGGCCTCCCATCCAGGGGATGTAGACGCATCACACTTCCTACCGCAGAATCCGACATTCTTGGGTGCTCTAAAAAAATCGCTACCACATCACGCTCATTCCGTGAGAATAATCAGAGAGCCCGCGTAAATCGAAATCATTGTCCACTTTCTAATGTCCGCTGATTTAATTTATACGTACTATCATTCGATTGCTTCTATAGCTTCTCTACTATTATCGTAAGCAGAAGCTACGTGATGACGGGAAATTGTTTATGTCTTCCCATTTCGTATAAAGGAGAGGGGATCAAAGTTTTTGGCCCATATAGAGAGATAGATAATTAAATGAAAGAAAAATAATATTATTTCCAAATAAAATTTTATTTGCCCGTGACACGTGAAATATAGGTGTGAGAGAGAGAGAAGCGGGAGCCTACGGAAACGAGACTGCAGTGACGGATGGGCGACAGCTGCTCTCTGACCGCGACCACGACCACGAGGGAGTCGGTGACTGGACTGGACTGGACTACGTAATGGGGAGGAGGAAGCATGTGCAGAATCCAAATCGGGGGCAGAGCGCGCGAGACAGAAGGCCAATGATGGAAACTCGGAACTTCCGAACTTTTCGAGCGAAGATGCTGCTGCTGGCGATGGCGCTGGCGCTGCTGCGACAACAGTCGAGGACAGAGGCGGGCTCGGTCTCGGGGCAGAGCAGAGCAGAGCAGAGCAGGGGAGGGGAGGGCAGGGCAGGGCCCGGGCTATGGCAGTCAGGGAGCGAGACAGCGGAACCTACAGATGCCGTGCGGGGCGTGGATTCGGTGCGGGCGTAGCGTAGTCCGGTTGATGCGCTCGGCCGGGAGGCAGGGCGGGGCCGGGCGCGGCAGCGATGCATCCATGCTCTCTGGGGGATGATAAGTGCGCTGCTGCTCTTTCGGTGAGTGGGGCTTTCTGCTTTTGGCCGTCGCGATAATGGACCTGCGTGCCTTGGATTCGAGGGCGATGATGGTGGGGGAATCCTGTAGCTTGCGATCGATCGGTCGATCGATCTTGACTTTGTCCTCTTGCACTCTTTCTCTCGTGCGGTGAGAAATGCGGAGTTTTTTAATGGTTTTTCTCTTGGCTCCGGGGCCGCTGACTTACCCCTAGTAGCAGGGCAGTCTGTGCAGTCTGTGCAGTCTTTTTTCTCGGGGCTGTGTAGCCCGTCTCGTCGGTGACGAGTACCTCATGCGATTGCGACTCTTGGGTCGCCACAGGCTTTACTTCGTCGTCATCAGGTGCTTGCAAACAATGCCAGATTCTGGATCGTCTGGCGAGTCGAGGTTGCTTTTTCGTTGCTTAGGGCTCTTTATGGCCCTGCCAGTTGTAGCACTGCCATAAGCAGAATACCGAGCCGTGAATGCGTAATGTAGTCGTGTCGAACCCCTCGGTGGGTTTCGGATGGAGATGAGTTTGGTTCGGGAGCAGAATTTGGGAGTTGTTCCAGCGAGGAGGCGGCGGTGTGGAGGGCAGATCGAGGGTGCCGGTTCCGGGAGGGAGTGGTTCGCGGGCTGTGCCCTGCTGCGTCGGTTTCACACCCACTGGGTCCATGGGAGCGAGCATTGCGTTTTCCGATCTGCGAATCGGCCTTGTACAGTCCTGGCATTTTTCATCGAGAACGTGATTCATGAGTGAGCAACGATTCGGGGAAACACATCCCTCGTTGGGAGTTGGAAGAATTGGGGAGGTGTTAGAACGACCTGATCCTGCTGCAGGGGGAGCGAGAGTTGTGTCTCTAGCCAGCCGAATCCAGGATCAGATCAGCTGGTATGCTCCCCTGCGAGTTCAGTGCCAAGAAGTGTTCCGAAGGCTGACCTCTTCTTCTCCGGTTTTCATTCGTTTAATTGGCAGTTGGTGCACCACCTGACTCAAAATGGCTAGTCCACTTTTCCGAAAGCTGGCGGACAGGGCACCTTACATACTCTTGGACAGTGATGTTCCCAGGACAGAGTTCCCTCTTGTTCCTCTACAATCACAGGCACCGGTTGTCCTTGTCAAAAAAAAGAAACCAGGGTCTCGAATGTGGTTGCGATTTGATTCATCTGGAGTCACAGAGCTCTTGGAACTCGACAGAAATGCTATTATGCAACGCGCCTCCATACCTGCTCGAGATTTGCGAATTCTAGGGCCTGTATTTTCTCAATCTTCCCACATTCTAGGTACGTAACCAGGGAGCTCCACTGAGAGTCCCATTCTGTCCCGATCTTGTCTATAATCAAAGATGGAGGATATAAGCACATGGAGTCATACTGCTCTCAGACCTGTTAGCTTTATCCTTGAAGTGAACATCAACAGTATAACGTTGAACACTACCACTGTCACTCCCTATGTTTTCTTTGATGTATTGAGAGGATTCGCGAAGTTGAAGGTAGCACGATTGCCTGCAAATTGACAGAATGGAGGGGAATTTACGTTTCTCGAAGAGAACTGACTAGCCCAACTGGCTCCTTTCTTAATTTTTTGACAGCAAGGGAAAGGGCCATGGTCGTAAACCTCGAGTTCATTAAGGCAATCGTAACCGCAGAGGAGCTTTTCTTACTGGAGGCTCATAACCCGGCTGTCCTGCCGTTCGTGGATCAGTTGAGGGAACATTTTCCTTTACGAACTGACCCACCACCACCAGGGGGAGAGAACCAGCTGCAATTATTCAATATAGAAAATGGAGATTACAGTGGAGACGGCGGGGTCATGCAAGCTTTGTTGCCCCATAGCCCACGTGGAAACAGGAACGAGGAAGAAAACCGGGATCAGCTTCCATTCGAGTTCAGAGTTCTGGAGATAGCCCTTGATGTAGTTTGCAATTTCTTGGAGGGAAGGGTGACAGAGCTGGAGCTGAAGGCATATCCTACCTTGGATGAATTCACAAGAAACATCACCTCCAGCAATCTCGAACTCGTGCGAAATCTCAAAAGTCACCTTACACGTCTTACGGGCCGGGTTCAAAAGGTAAGGGTGATGTGATCTCTGAACATGCAGACGAAAGTCATGACAAACTTCACAACTGTAACAAAGTATATATAAGCAAGAGATACGATCAGTTTGCATTTCAAGCTATCTTTTGCAAAGAAATATGTAGTTCCTCAACAAAACAGTCACTACGTTGTAGCCCCAGGGTTTGTACAGGTAAACATCAGAAGATGCAGATAAACAACCGCAGCGATAATAAACCTGGACGGTTTGAAGACTCCAACTCTTCAAAGTTTTAGGTGCATTATCCTGTGAGTAGGCGAACAGCCTCTCTTTGCAACAATTGAAGCATGTCTCTGGTTGTGGATGAGTTCAAAGGCGAACCTGTCCTTGAGATAAGGGCACAAGGTGGTTACCTGTCTGAACATACCTGACTATATTAGGAACAAGAGGGATTTATTGAGACGGAAATAAACAAGAGGATATCAGGGACTATGCATTTGCAATGTAGGACATTTACAATTCATCTACGTTGTTTTCTTTTCAAAGGAATGCACCGTAAGGAACACTATAGGACAGAAAGTTGTGGCTTCTTCTTCGTCCTGCCAAAGAGTTGTTCAGCCTTGCAATTACAGAGCAACTAAAGAGAGTTGAATTATCCGTAGTCGCCCTGTGGTTGCACAAGATACTGCATGAGTCACATACCAACTTTGTCTCCGTAGTTGCTCTCACGAGTATGTTCCGTTGGCTTTCATGAGCTGCAGTCAATTTCGAGTTTTTACCAATATGTATCTCAAAAATGTGATGGAAAAGGCTGGATTGCCCGTGCAGGTGAGGGATGAACTGGAGCAGCTACTGGATGATGATAAGGACATGGCTGACCTCTATCTTACGCGAAAACTTGCACAATGGCAGCATATAGAGTCACCATCTGCATCCTTTCGTGAAGATGGACCATACAACTCTTTTGAGCATATGAAATCGTCACATTACAACGGTGCCACAAGCATGGCTGCAAGCATAAGTTTCGAAAACGAAGACGTTGAAGAACTTGAGATGCTTCTGGAAGCATATTTTATGCAACTGGATGGGACACTGAACAAACTAACAATGGTCAGATTCCGAAATTTCTCCACATGCAGCCTACGAAAGGATTTTGGATCTAGAATCAGCTACCTCTAAACCACTTCCTTTATTTCGTTGAAGGGCTCTGCACGAATGATCTTTAGTGGGGGAAAATTTTTCAAGCAACCTCTATCTTTGCACCGCCAGACTTTACATCTCCTGGCTAAAAATCACTGGCTGTTGGCATGTGGTTGTTTACAGATTCGAGAGTACATTGATGACACAGAAGACTACATCAATATCCAGCTTGATCATCAACGTAATCAGCTCTTTCAATTTCAAATCACATTGGCCACTGGAGCGTTCGCCACCGCCATAGCTACAGCACTGTGCAGTGCTTGCAGTATGAACATCCAATATTTCTACATCTACGATCCTGCGAATGACGTCTTCACACCCTTCATCCTGTCCGCCTTGGCGATAGCCGTGGTTGCTTTTTTCAGCGTTCTGGGGTATGTGCACTGGACTGGATTGTTCGAGAGGTGACGATGCATTTGCTCTCACACATTGTAGTGCAGCTGTGTAGTCCAACTATTTTACTTGTTGGAGGCCGATGACTCCTGCAAATGACCGGGATATCCAAGGATTGGACGGCAGTCACGATGTACAAGCCCACGTCAAGGTGTCGTATTCATTGAGCATCATTCAACACTGATCAAAAGCAGCGTCATGGCTTATTCGGCCGTTTGGCATCCGGCAGGTTCATGATCATTCAGGCATTGTTCAGATGTAGAGCTCAGACAGGAGCTCACTGGAGATGGATTGTGTAGCCATGGAATATTTGTTTTCAAGTTTTTTAATATCTGGAATCTGGATATGAACAAAAATTCCAAGCCTATGCTATTATTTTCTTCTAGATCTGGAATGATCGAAATGTCCAATTACTTGCCTGACGAGCAAGATGGGATGAGGCTTAATGGTGGATTGTATCATACATTGGTGACCTCGTTGAAGTCCTCAACGAGGACAAATTTCTTGCTTCTTTGAGGGAACCTGATCACACGTGTGGGCAGGGTATCTCTCCGAGAGGCGCATATAGAAAGTACTATGACGGCAGAGCAACTTCCTGTTGTGAGGAGAGTGGGCTTAGAATTTGGCATGTAGAGAGTGGTGGGATGATATTTTAGCCAAACAGTTTTCGACGCTGCGAGGAAACCCGACACAGCATCGCATTCTACCGAAAATAAGGTTTGGAGAACCAGCGAGTGAAACGAAATCTCTGGTAGAACTTCATCGACCTACTACATGGTCACTGGTACGTCCCTGGAATTACTCAAGTGGGTGCAAATTGAGTTATCTTAGTCGTGATACAATCCCAATATCGCATATTGTAGGTGAGCTCGTCCTTGTGTCCACACACTTTCCAGTTCTACTCGTCATGTAGTTGAAAGCAGCTGTATGCTTATCCGTGTAACAGCTTGCAATAAAGGTTTTTACAGAGACATATTCTTGAGAGAAATAAAACAGTTGTTTACCGTCTAAGCTGTATGATGGATGAAACTGGGAGATTTTAGCCTATTGCGTTCAGGCTGCAAATCGCATTCGCCCCAATTTTCTTACCGCTGCTGCACTGTTGCTGAAGAGTCCGAAGAGTTTTGTCCCTTTTCCAAATCTCATCATGATAGCCTTTCGCTAACATGGAGATGGGCAACGAGGATGGTCATTTCTCCTTACTATTTCAGTAGTCCTCAAATGTCCAAGTACTTCAACATCTGAATAGCTAGAGTATTGCTTCAAACACCTGGTGATTCAGATACTGATCTTGCACTCCACCGTCGTCCAGGCGCTTGAATGTGTGAGATTTGGTTTAGCGGTGTAGATTAAGAGTCCTTTAAAATCCGCAGCCAAGACCAACATACTAGGATGTTTGTGTTCAATAGAGCTGCTAGTCAGCAACGTACTCTGTCAAACACGTTGTGTATCCAAATGTCACCAGACGTACGCCTATCCGTAACTCCAGCCCTGGTCTGTATCTGGGGGCTTTCTGGTGGCTTTACTGTTGCTTCATGTCTGTAAGGTGGACATCTGCTGTATCTGAAGGCATGTTATTCTAGGAGTAAGAGCAGGTGACTCTACGTACTGCAGTCTCACAGATTGTAATAATTAGCTGAAACTATCCAGGAAAACCAGTTTCGACACTACTGGCTTTCACATTTGTCTCTCGTCGAAAGCCTATACTTTCATCACAATAAGTTCTTCCCGGTAAAAATCTGCCTAGTGTCAGCTTTCCGGCCGACACCTGCTTCGGTAAAGTGAGGCAATAAGTGAGTACGTGGCAATAGTGTGTTGCATGAAGTACGAAGATTCGGAGTCCAACTCATTCAAACATCTAAATCAGCCCGGGCAAAGACCGGCCCAAGGACGAAAAAGGTAGGGACTGCAGCTTTGCATGGATAGGCAAAAGTTTCGATCGTTGTCATATCACAAACTCCAGCTACAGGGATGTGAGCACTTGAACTGCAACCACTTAATTATGCATGCCTCATGTTCGTACTCAGAAGAGACTCTACTGTGAACAGGCCACGTCTGTGCAACTTACTGGGTCACAACATAGACAGGTAAGGTGGTGAACACTAAATCCCAACTCCATTGTTGTCATTGCGACAGATCATTCCAATTTGAGTTAAAAATGCTTGCGTCGTTCAAAGGAGTGAGGCCAGAAACGGGAAGAATAAAAGCCTTCTATGCATTGAATCAAGGGGAACACAACAACATGATGTGTTCAAAAGCTTCACTCTAACCTCCGTCTGATAAGATTTAGAGTTATGTGAAAAATTGTGAACATGGACGGATTAACGATGGGTAGATTAGTTCCAACTCTCACGTTTAAAAAGATTCATAAACACGGTGGAAACTGGAAGGAGCTGGAAGAGATGGAATAAGAGCGTTAAAGAGTCCTCCAGTCCAATTCACTGTGATAAAACGACATGGTTGATACATTCCAGTCCGCAAACTCTCCCTACTCGAGGCAAACAATATCTCGTACCAAACGTGAGGCCACAATCCTTATTCGCAATTGCACATCTGTTATTACCAAAGTTCGATGTGGGCTCTGCCACACGAGTCCAATTCTGGTATAAAAGCGTGAACGGCCAGCATTCGACATTTACCTACAAAATACAACGTTTTTCTGGACCAGAAAAACGGTCTTTGAGTCTTTCGACATCAGAGACCGACCGCCACATATTCTACCTTCGACCTAAAAATGCAAATTTCGGATTTTGGAGATGAAAGAGGGAGGGAAATGAATGGAGGAAAATTCAGGATAAACCTCAGCCTGCACGAACATTCTACGTGCTATGATTGATTCGAGTTACCCCGTAAAGCAGACGCGTAAAATCTGCATTAAGAAATTATACACAGTTCTCTTCGTGCAATGAAACAGCCCTTGTACTCATTCCACTCGAAAATTCATCGAGGAAAGAAAGCGCCGGAAAACGGAGCCAGAAAAGATCGAAAAATGCACGGTGCTCCAGGCCAAAGATGTGTGACTGTCGATACTCCGGGCTCCCTTCACTTCTCCTCGATCCTCAATGCTCCGCAGCTCCATCCCTTCTCTCCTCCCCAGCCACCCACACTCGAACCAGAAAAAGCAGCCACCATACCCATCAGACAGAAACCAACGACACCCACATCAAAACCCCGAGACCTGAACGAACTCCCTCCAATTCATTCATCCGATCATTCAGTCCCACTCGCGCTCATTCGCTGGCGCTGGCGCGACGTTCGGCACCCTCGCCCACGGAAAAGGGCCAAATCGGATCGGATCCATTGAAGATGTACGAGCAATCCCTCAAGGCCGAGCCTAACCCTATTCCTGCTCCAAAAGCGATCGCGGACCACCGCGTGGTGGGACTCCGAAACAACGTCAGCGCTGCGGCTGCTCCTCCGGCCGAGGAATACACCACCCTCCTCAACGTCAAATCGATCGCTGCATCCCACTTCTGATCGAGCAGCAAATCCGCTGACCTGCTCCCCTTGGCCTCCATCTTCGCTCCTCTCCCTGCCTCCCTGCCAATGTCCGATGTCGTGTGAATGTCCGATGCCCGCCGAGAAGAAGCGCCCGATCTGAGCTTCTGCCTCCTTCCCCTCCTTCCCCTCCCTCGCTGACCTTCACTTCCCTTCGAGCAATCGCGTCCCCTTTAGGTGCACCAGGTCGCCAGCTTCCTGCGCTCGCACTTGCGGCCGTGCGTCCGCTCTTGCGGCAGCACCAGGTTTCCGGCGCACCCGCCACGGCGGCGGTGCAGCTCTCTCGTCTTCTCGTCGGTCGAGACCTGGTCCTTCCAGAGTGGCGATATTTCTCCACGTGGTCTCCACGTGGCGGATGCGTTTCGTCACTCATCCTTCCGTTCTTCCAGCGTGTCCGTCTCCACTGTTCGTTCGACTTCTGCTCGTTGCTCTATTCATTTGGAACGAGTTTGCGAGTCCAGGTTTCTGTCCGTTCTTCGGAACATGTTTGCGTTGCGGCATTCGAGTCCGACGTGCCTGCCACCTCACCTCTTTCCTTTTGCCATATAAGCGCGCGTCCTCCTCCTTCTCACCCTCCCCTGCGTCCAGCTTGACATTGCTCCTTGAGGTCGACAATGGCAACAGATTATCGATCTGATCGCCAAATTCGCTCCCGATTCCGTTGTTTGTTGTCATAATGTGGGTGGCGGTCTAGAGTCGAATTAATCATCATTATTCTCGCTCTTGTTTGTAATCTGTGCTGTGCGTGGGGAGATTTCTACAGCTCTGTGTGTGTGTTTGTGTGTGTGGAGGATTCCGAACGGGCATGGAGAGCTGGAGCTGTCCTTTGGTCTCTCGTTCATGTGGCATCTCTGGTCGAGTGCCATGCATTTTTGAGTTATGGTGCCTCGATTCAGCTTTCGGGTTGCGCTCTGGGGTGATTTCCACTGTGTTCGGGGAACATTTGAAGGGATCGTCGAAGAGTAGTTTCGGATGTGGAGACTCGGAGAAAGCCCCTGAATGTTAATGCGAGGTCGGTTTGCGTAGATGTCTTTCTACCTTCTGCCACAGATGCAAGAGAAATTTGCGCTCCTCGAGGCTCGTGGCAGGTTCATCGGCATTGTGACAACCACTTTCACAGGAGCAAGGCGTTAGAAGCATGGTAAGCTGATCAAGGCTGCCCTCTGTATTTCTAGGTCCTCATGGTGTAGCCATACAGCCAATGATCGAAGGGTGCGATTTTTCTGAACTTTCCCAATAGAGATCGACTGTAGAGCGAACTAAAACGGAGATCTTTGGATCAGGGTGTGAAGGGATCTTTCTCTTTTCCCGGCTGCTATCATAACAAAATGGTGGCAGTAGATGATTTAGGAAACTTCCTTATCGTTATTCTCCCCTACTTCAGAAATGTGGTGGATAAGAAAGAAGCACAATAAGCCTCACAATCGAACATAGTGCTAATTTCTCGATATTTGCTCACATGTCACCCTAATCCATCGAAAGCGGGTTACTATGAAGTATCATCGGAGTACCCAGAAGTTTGTTCACTCATTGTAGTGATCACACTCATGAAATGTGAACTTTGAACTCTCCTCAGCTTTAAGGTCAGAGTTCACTCTGACTCTCGCTAGTAACTTTGTGTTCCCAAAAGCGGCAGTGGCTCTTCTCATGAGAACAACCTCTGAGTGAGATATGATGCATTCTCCATGCTCAGGCTCAGGCTCAATTTCAAGTTCCTCAAGTCTCTGAAGGAGGGGCTCCGCCGAATCCACACTTTCAAGCAGCAAATTACGGCAATCCAATAACTGCCCTCTTTTGTGTGATTTTCAAAGTACGTTTGAGGCGCTCTTATGCAAGACATCTGAATATTGCTGAAATTTGCCAACTGGGGCCAGTCCTATCACCTGAGTCTATACTTGCTTAATTCACAGGGTTCAGCGATTGCGTTTTACATTTTCTGCGGATGGATAACGAGCAGTTTCATAATCCACTTTGTTGTTGTAACAATACTCATGGCTCTCGACTTTTGGACGGTGAAAAACGTAAGTGGAAGGATTCTGGTGGGCCTGAGATGGTGGAACGAGATAGATGAACAAGGGATCAGTATATGGCGTTTCGAATCGCTCGATCAACAGGTTGCTTTCATATACTCACGTTCTCGTATAACGTAGAACTGAGGTCAATATCTTTCCGTCAGACGTGCTGACTATCACTGAAGACAGTCTAAAATAGTAAATATTTTTCAGCGTGCGTTGGAATCAAAACAACTGGGGAATGTCAAGCTGCAGCTGAAAAACTCGCTGACGAGAGACTTCTTTTGTCTGTGCATCACCGTTATATCTGAGGAGGCTACACAGCGTTGTATGAGGAGGCTACACAGCGATTGTCATTCAAGCGCATCTGTCATGAGAAAGCACATAGTCATTATTACTGATGTTATGGTCAAGTATTTATCATGCAGAGTATGTCACGGATAAATCAGAACGATTCATGGCTATTTTGGACGAGTTTGTACGTCACGGTATTCACCACGAACTCCATTTGTGGTTCTTTGTTTACAATAGTAAATAAAGTTATGATCTACGCAAAACACACGATGTACTAATTGAATCGACAGCGAGGTAGGAAAGAGGTTTTTCCTTTTCTTATCCTCTAGGTTGAAGCAGATGAATTGAGTTCACTTACATATCTTCATGAGTGGGGTGGGATTTCTCAAACAACTGATACATACCTTGATCAATGGATACATGATACAGGAGTGTGTAACCAGAATGGTAATAAATGATAGTTTGGACATTTTCGTATAGGTTGTATATAGAAAGTGCCAAGACATTGTGACTAGCTTGTTCGTGGTGTGCGGCAGTAACTGCAGCCCGCTATCTGGACAGTGTTTGGAATCGTCTCACTTTTGAAGTTCAGTTTTGATTACCTCCTGCTGGTCTGCATCTCGCTGACTTTGTGCTCGGCCAACATTATCGGATTCACGAAGTGCCGAAAAGGTGAGTAAAAAATCTTCCCTTTGCCTACGTTCAACATAGACATCCCTGTTCAAGAGGCTATGGAGAGTCAACGTTCCAACTAGACCATCTGACAGAGAAATTCGTGCTGACGTTGCAGATGCCAAAAAGCAGGTAGAGAACTTTGCCCGGCATGCTGTGGCAGAAGGAATGCGGGAAGCGATGACAGGAGGGTTAGCAAAAGGCCTTCAGAAAACCTTAGGACTCTAAATGCAAACAGCGAGCGCCGATTAAAAAAACGCGGTCACAGAAAGCCTCTACAATTTCCCCGTATACTGTTCTTGTGATTCAGAGAGAACCGCCCGTGTGACGCTGAGACCAATGGAGCAGCACAGGAGTCAGTGAGACCTCTTGACAGTCCTTCTGTGGTATCACTTACGGATGAAACTCCACGGTTCTCTACTGTATCTGTTCAGGACACATTCCGTCAATTAAGTCAGGCACATTCCTGCCTTAATTGCTTGCTAGGCAACTGCAAGACGAGGTCCTCAACTTGTCGTTGTGTTCATGTTAATAGTTTGACGACCCTCGTGACTTCGAAACTACCCAATTCCCTGAATAAAATACATCTGGAATAGATTATGAACGAGTCAATAAAACTCATGACAAACTAAACGATCTCGGACACTTACATACACAATCAAGACGTGAGAAAATTCAAGTTTTTTTTTTTAGAGCCCACCGATTGTAAGGCTTCTGCTCAACATTTACAACTGGCTGGTCTGGAAGGACACTAGCACTTGGTATCGACCTCGGATTGGGAGGGGTCGCAAATACAGGAGCACTTGAGACCAACCCTGGAGTAACCGGAGCTGACTCATCATCCCAGGTTGATGGACCACCTGTTCCTATTTCAATATTGGGTTGAAGCCGTGACAATAGGTCATCTATTTTCTTCGGTTTGTTCAAGAAATGACGTCCTTTGGTTGTATCAACCACAGAAACAACACCAGAATCCTCTTTTTTCTTCTTCACCTTGCCATCTCTACCAATTTTGATTCCCACAGGCTCTTCGACAGCATGCTTCTCCTCCGTTTGCGCAGTTGGCAAGCTGATCATTTCTAGAAACGAACGGGTCTTGCTATCGTCCGAAGATCCTTTCTGGCCAATCTTTTCCTTCAGGCTCGTCTTCTTCGACTCGAGGGGAGATGCCTCCACGAATTTGTCCGAGTCCATTTCTTGCTCTCTTGCACCGTTATCATCTCTACTTTTCTGGACGCTCTTACTCTTTTTTCTCCTGGGCCCCTCTAAGAGAGTATCCCCGTCAAGAACCTGCAGTTGTGGCAGTCTTTTCCTCACCTGAGAAGGTACAATGGGTAACACTTGTGGGTTACATATGATTCGCTTTTAGGCATGGGCGGTGTAAATACCTGTACCATTTGTGTCAAGGTTTAACAGAATGACATCATAGGCAATACGGGAAACACAAGCATCGAAATTCGACCTCCAGCTTAATACCAGCCTTTTCATTTCACCGGACTAAGGAAAAACCACAGTTTAATACTTCAAGAACGTAAAGCCACCTAAAACAGCTTAGTGCTGTGAAGGTTTCAGTAGAAAAAATCTGGATTGCAGTATCTTACCTCGTCTTCGTAACCATCTTGCGAACAGATGGGATTACCACGCAGATTCAGGTTGACTAGGCTATGGAGTGTCCCCAGAACCTGCAGGATTGAGTAAATTCAGTACTGATGTTTCCCCTGTCACTACCGAGAACAAACTAAGTTCAAATTCCTGTTGCGCTAATGCAAAACATAGAGCAAGTCAGGCACACGCGTTTGCTTGGCAATCATCAAATAATGAGTAGCTTATAAAATAACATGAGGTCCCACAGCAATACGCAGAATCAGATGTATGTCTTCAAGAGCGGCTCAGAATCATGCAATGTTCGATTGTGAAAAGCATGTACTTCACCTGTAAATCTGACCAGCTCTTGAAATAATTCGTTCCCAAGTCAAGAATCGTCAAGCGGCCATTTCTTTCAAGCTCTTGGGGAAGACTCTAAAGGCCACCATTTGCAAAGACATCAACCATCTGGTGTTACACAACTATCGATTCAGGACTAACGTTTGAAACTTGGAGACTCTGAAATTTGAAACAAAACATTGCTGCGACTGCTGTACGTGATTGTGATGGAGTAAAGTAAGGTCGATGTACAAAACTCAGGAACTACTGCCTTGGATGGCAACATACTCTGGAAAAGTCCAAACAGACCAAAGTCCTCGATCCTGCTGACAAAGAGCAAACGAAGGACGAGCACAACATACCGAGAGCTGATTGTGTGCCAGCCGAAGTTCCTCGATTGTCGCACAACGTTTAAGAGCACTACCTATTACCTGCACTTGGCAATGAGACATGGACAGCTGTTGCCCAGAACCTGAGCGAGTAAGAAACTTCTGACAAAGTCTCATATATCTATATAGAAGTAAATTGTATAGATTAGACAGCACCTCCATCAGAAACTGGAAGCTGAACGGTAAACGGATGTCCCATAAATGCAGTGGTTGACGAAGAGATGAACCTACTTAAAAAGCGTAGATGTTGCACGACAACAGTCCATGTAAAAGGAAATAAATGAGAAATTATACCTTTTTCAAGGACATAAGCTTGGAGGCGAAATTTCCAAAATTTCGGATGGGATTACGTGATAGAACTGAGACACAAACGGCGTTACAAGAGGTCATAAGAAAACATGTGGAGGTGAGAGAACATGTCGTCACAAAACCAAGGCGACAAAAAAAAAAGAGGAAGATTACGATCCATGTGGTGGTATTCATTGCGTTCATTACAAACTGTAAACTTTGAACACTAAACCCAATGCGATGCGATTGAAGTATGACGTGCTTGAAAGAAGAGAAGAGTACACTAACCAACAGTATTCAGGTTGACCAATCGATCCAGCCGACAAACAGATGAAATTTCATTATCTGCAGAGTCACAAGCATGTCAGTCAGTCCAGCATTCCAACATGGATATATATATAAGAAGCGATTACCCTGCAAGGACTCAATTTACTCAATTTACAAGTATGTTATTAGTTCAGGAACCTTACCATTCAATATGAGTGCTCGAAGTTCTGTAAGACCTGCAACCTCCGTTATAGATGTTATCTCGTTTTTACTCGCGTTTAGCACCTAAGAAAAAATCGTCGTTCCACCCAGTAGGCAGGGACAAGGTACTCCAGCATCAGATATGCATCAGTGGTTCCTATTCTCGTTTGCGCGAGATGAAGAAGAACCGGAAATCGCATCTAAGCACTTTCTCTACGCATACAGGCCAGTTCGTCGAAAAGCTTCTGAAAGCTAACAAACATCATAAGAAGAAGAAACCAGAAATGCTAGTTGTAAATCAGTACACTTCATTCCGCAAGGGAATTCAAAACATTACTAGACTCAAAAGTTGGTGGATATAGGGCGCACCGTAAGTTTCGTGAAGCTTTCTACTCCTTTCAAACTTGTCAACTGATTCCCAGCGACCGACAGCCATGTCAACTTTGTACAGAAAGTAATCCCCTGTTTTCGAACATTCACCTTGTCAGTACAGCAGTCTCACGACTTTTGTCTTGAATAGTTGCACCCCACTACGATGCAGGTCCAGAAGTAGACGTGTTTTCCATACAGACTGATAGTTAATACTTGCCTAAGAACGGCTCAAGATTAAAAAATGTAAGTACCGCACAGCACCTCAAGACTGGAAATTCGGTTGTCGCTTAGATCAAGCCTCGTCAATCTTTCGCACATGTCCAAACCCATCAACTGCAACAGTCATATTGAAACACATAAAACACAAAATATATTTACGATAACCCTGGTGGTTTTAAATATTTATTAGTGCAATCCACAAACAAGCATTCATTGTGATCGGCAACGATATTCAACTACGATGTCTACTCATTCTGGATATCTCCGCTACACTGGTAAACGAAGACTAGTTCCTTAACTTCATGCCAGACTCGGCACATTCAATACAATTTCGGAGCCGGTTTTCCAAAGTATAAGGCCTAGTTTCACTGAGAAGCGACATATTACTCCATGAATTTGAGATAGTACTCGAAATTCCACAACTGGGATTCTGGTGTCATATATTGGGAACCAACAGTGGTGACGACTGGGCCAAAGCTTCGAGATTGACCTGATCGAGATCCCGGTGCGGAACGATGAGAGAGGTGATGGTCGCAAGATCAGCACCATCGTGAATTGCCGAGATCAGGGCAGCTGTTAGCCGCACCATCTTGTGCTGCTTTCACTTACTCCTTGTGATTCACCTCGCGTTTCTGAGAAAAAATAAAATTCAGACCCGACTGCCAGTACCACTGAAAAAGCCCGTAAAATACTACCTTCGGAATTCAGTGCATCAGAAGGTGGGCAAACTTGAGCCTGGCGCCTGCAAGCTATTTCAGGCTACTACAACATATCTAACACATCGCGTGGAGTTCAAACGGACACAGAGGGGGATATTCCGAGCCTCTGCCAAGTTTGAGTCCAAGTGAAATGAACAGCGAAACAAAACCGTAGTCGAGACTACATTCTTTATGTATTGTAATTCTGCCTCAGGATGAAATTCTCAAGCAGTTAAAGCTCATGACTTTCATACCAGGCATGTATAGTATACATCCAAAGGACATTTGTAAACGGCAATTTCCAAATGTCACCATTACTTCGAATATATACTTTTCAGCCGGAACGGTGCCACACTTTACCGACCGAAACTCTGCACTATCGCGAAGAGAAAAACTACAGAAATCACGCATTCAACACGCACAGAAGCACTCGTAGAACAATTAATTCTCCTTGCCAAGATCACAACCATCGGCGCCAAATCTGAACAGAAACACCTGCGGCGTACCGTAGTCGACGCCCGAATTTCCACACTCCCCTCAGAGCAAGCCGATTTGAGGCCTCCGCGATCGATCTACGCATTTCCTCCTTGCCATACCCCACCGAGCATCAGAACCACGGCAAATCCTCGAAGCTCCGTTGTCTAGCCTCCGTCACCTTCCTAAAGCCCTAAACCCTCGCCCTGAGGCAATTTACTCGCAGAACCGAATTACTAATCATTAATTTTAAGGCACCAATCAAAAGGTTGTCCTGGCTACAACCGGCTTGCGGAAAGAATGACCGGGAAGTGACCTGACAAAGAGGTCACCAACGGATTTGGGCTCCGTGTCGTTGCCATGGCCTCGAGCGCAGCCTCGAGCTCGAACATTTGTCGTCGCGAGCAGATTGTTGGCATCGTCAATTGCAGCTCGTGGTCGGCGTTTCGGAGCCACAGCTGCCAGAGAGAGATGGGATTTTGATTTTCATTTGTGGACCTACTCCTGCGCTGAGAGCTGGTCCGTGCCAGAAGCTCACCGAGGGAGTGGATTGCAGTGCAGTGCAGGAATGTGCGTGTGCTACGCAAGCTCGAGTGTGGATAGAGGAATCGACCTGGCGTGCGGAATTTGCTGATTCTGGTCCAGATTCTGGGAGTTGGAGCTTCCGGAGTGAAGCTTACCAGCAGTGGTCTTCCGTTGTTCAGCTCCGAGTTCGTTCTCAGCTGGGTCCAGATGTCGATGACCTCGTGTGCTTGCGGCGCGGTCGCGCAGATTGCGTCGCCTTCTCTACCTTCGAGTTCGCGGGGTTCGCAAGTGCATGCGGAGCTTGTGCGTCTACCTCTCGCTCATGCGCTGCGTGGACATGGTAACGACCAAATCTCTCTCACCTCTCATCAGTGCCGCAATCTCATCCGGCGCACCCAATCGAAGCCTCTGATTGGCTTTGAAACCAGGACCCTACTTCAGATTCCGCGTGCATTCCCTGACATGTAGTCAGATGGTATTGATGTAGACAGAGAGATCACATTCAGAGGGCAATTTGGAAAAGTTTTCGATTTTGTGTCGGTCCAGATTGACGTCGAAGTTCCACCGTTCTCACTTCATTCGGTAGAAAATTGAAAATTGAGAATGTAGCGCAGGAGGAAACACGTCCTTTCAGTCAAAAGTGCCCTGCCCTACCTACTGACATTGATGCAATTTTTCCTTCGCCGCTTCCCCGCAATGTGAAAGTCCTATGCCTGAAATTATGTTGCTGTGGAAATCGGTGATGGCGAGTTGATCAAATTGTGCTGCTCGTTTCAGGTGCTAGGCACTCATGCTCCAGACGCCGAGGAACTCTTACGGTCCGGGCAATTGGGGGAGGAGCAGGTGGCCAATCTACCTTTTTGTCGTATGAAGAGGCCGGATTGATCGAAATGTCCGAGCTCGACATGCACGAGCGATTCTTATGTCGCCTGACGGTCCGTTTCCCTCCTGATCTGAGAGTCTAGGTCTGAGACCACATGCATTCGCCTTATATAACGATGTGGGCATTTGATCCCCCGTGGGCCTCGTCCTTCCCTGACGAGCAACTTAATGAAATTATGTGGCAGTAGCACTAATTTTGTTTCCATCTGTGCCATCTGCAGGTGTCTTCACTGAATCTCCTCAGGATAGTCTCAGAGCAAGAAGGTGTTCCCATAGAAGAGCTTAATGCGGGCATGATTTGTGATTGGTTTCAGAAAGATAAAGTAAAGAGGGAACAGGATATCAACTCAGCCACCCTGAAATGGGAATCTGGGCCTGAATGGTGAAGTTGCCAGAGGTTCAGTCACCCGAGTGCTCTCTTTCCAATGTATCTTAGATTATTGCTCGATGGGAAATCGTTTTTCCACTCAATTCTACACAACCCTGATGGTATCAACTCAGCCTTCTTGTCCTCTTCAATTTTTGATGGTTTCATCTCCTCTTCTCGTCCTTCCAATCTGAAGAAATGAATGTTCACTCTTGCTTGCTCTGACTGCTGAATGCAGTGTGCTACCAATGTGGTTTGGTTTCATACTATGACATCCAAATGATTGATCCAAGAGATTGACAGACACCGGCATCCACATCTTTATCTGAACACCCTTAATCAGCTCACGAGATTCAGAAGGCGCGCCACAAGCAACAGCTGGCTACGTCAGTGGGAAAACTGCCACATTGATCGCAGCGACTCACCATACACACCCATCACGCTGCCATTAGGAAGGAAGAGAAGTGTATTAAACTCCACGATTGTTGGTTCGACAGCCTTGCGGAAAGCAGTTCGTCGAAGTTGGTAATGGTAAAATTGTAGTATCCACTGAACGGAAGGTCATATTTGCAAATGTTTATGAGGTCACGGTGGGAAGGCAGATGGTGCAGCTGAGGTGAGATCATTCATACCTCGTGCACTGAAGACGACGTGCATCAGCCACGAGGAACAATATCGCGAGGTTTGTGATTCAGCTGTCTCTGAGTGAAACCAATTCAGAGAGGAGTCTCTATCGGTCGACTGAAATCCTGCGGCCGTTCCTTTGGCGCCGATGAATTGTCGGGAAAGAAAGCATGTCGAGGATGATGGATGCAATGGCTTTGGCAGAGGGAGGAAGCAGAAGCTGAAGTGCAACAGAGGATGAAATGTGTCCCCTTTCTACCTGGACAGAGGATATTAATTAATAAAGAGCATGATGCAATCATTCTTTCCTGTTCACATCAAAGATAATCAGTATAAAGTGCGCAAGCGCATGAAGAACGATCGAGCCGCCAAATCGAAGCAGCTCGTGAAATCTAGATCATCCCACAACTGAACCGCACTACATCACGATCAACTTTGGGCCTGATCTACGAGACACGGATCGAAAGAGCCCATTGCCTGCCCTCGCTCTTCAATGCGCTTCTGGCGGAGACGCCTGACGAGTGCACGAATGCTTCACGAGGATGACCACCTCACGGCGCGATCGAAATCTCAATGCGATTTCGATCTTCGTCGATCTCCGGAGACCGGGAGATGATCGAAGGCCTGCTTGCTCCCCTGGCGATAAAATCCTCCGTGCGTGGGGTTTAGGATAAGTCTAGAATGCCAACTGGCTGTTTGTTTTCTGAGTCACCTCCGTTCGGACCGGGCTTTCCTGCCACATGGCAGCCACGTCCGCTCCGCAGCTTTGTCGTCTTGGGAAGCGGGCATGACTTGGACGAGCTCCCCTGATTTCTTCCCTCACCTCGACGAGCGACGACGCAATCGCCAGAGCTGCAGCAGTGTCGAGGGTCGAGGGAGGGAGCCATGGCCGCCTCGATTTCTTGCGTTTTGCAGGGATGGCCGTCGTCGCGGGCTGTGAGTGGGTCTGCTGCTCACCAGTCTCTCGCTGGGGTACCTGTGGTGGTGAGTTTTCCCTCGAAGGGTTCCGCGGCTGTGGAGAGGGCCGCAGGAATTAGGTGCGAAGCAGGGAGCGGGGAGAAGGTGGGGTTTTTCGGTCGACTCGGTCGCGTTATCAAGGAGAAGGCGAAGGGCGACATCGACCGACTCTTCAATGGCTTTTCGAAAACGAGAGAGAATTTGTCGGTCGTGGATGAACTCCTCACGTACTGGAATCTATCTGACTCCGAGACTGTGCTCGACGAATTGGAGGAGGTTTGTGTACCTGCTCCAGTTCTAATTACCATGTTTCTTATTCCGAGTGAATATTCCTGATATTTCTCTTGCTGGTGCCGAGAACATTCCGCCGGGTGTTGTCAATTCCGAGCGATTTAGTTTATTTCGTGGGCACTTGTTCGCACGAATTCATGTCCATGAAACTTGCATGGAGTCTCCTATTGCTTAGATGCTCGAGCTGTTTGACTTCCTTTCATTATTTCTTCGTTATGTCGATCAAATGAAGAGAATCAATTTGAATCTGGTTATTTTCTGGCCTTTCACTTGAATCTCTTTCATCAATATCGTTCCGAGTTTAGATCTTTACATGTTCGATACAGGATATAGTTCACTTCTTTGCCATGAATGTGCTCAAAGTCACAAGCATATACGATTTCAGTTTACTTGCTTGCACAAAATATCAACCGGTCTTTCGTCAAGATGCTCGTTTCCCTGATCATTTAGACACCTGAAATTTATGATGCGAGTTGCAGTAGGCTGGTTGAAGGCTTAGATGTTCAGAGGCATTTTTCTTGTATTACAGGCTTTACTTGTTGCGGATTTCGGACCGAGAACTGCTTCCAAAATTGTCGACGAGTTGCGAACAGACATTTTGAAGGGAAAGTTGAAGACAGGTCCAGAGATCAAGGTAAAGCTAGTTTTAAATCTTTTACTAGGTACTAGCACTGCAAGGACACCGAAGGCAAAAACAGGATTTCATATCTTTTCATTAGCCTCTAGTGGTGATTTGAGGGGAACATCTAATACGATCAATTTCGCTAAACCTAAGAGGCCTAGTGGTTGAAACACTCATATGTATGTATATACATATATAACTTTGAACCCTGACGACGCGGAACAAGCTAGTCCTTTCAAGAATTTCTCAGGAGGATACTGGAGCTCATCACTTTTTTGCGTTTGGATTATCTTGCTGAAGGGAAGATATTTTCTTAGTTTGTGGTGCCATGCATACATGCTTAGTGCAGAATGCGGTTTAGGCATCGTTTCTGATCAACCGAAGTATCGTAGGAAATCGTGAATGGTCACTGGTCTGATGGAATATGATCCGCAGCTTTTTACAATGATCTGTTATATCTCCATCCTTCCCTTTCCATGGTTTCAACACGAGATCCCTCTTCTAACGTTTTTTTTTGTTTCGGCTGTGCAGGCAGCGCTGAAAGCAAACATTCTGAATCTACTTACACAGAAAGTGACCACGACCGAGTTGCAGTTGGGCACTAGGTAATCATCGCCTTCATTCCTCTTGTCTGTATGTTGTGAAGAGAGCTGGACATCTGTTGATTCTTGAATGAATGTGCCACCAACTTTTGATCGGAATACTTTCATACGACTCTGTCCTGCTCTTTGTTCAGCCGTCCTGCCGTGATCATGATCGTGGGTGTAAATGGAGGTGGAAAGACAACGACGATAGGTATGTCTTCCTTCGCATGTGCATTCTTTCGTTCGAAGGTTTGCACAGCCAGGTCTCATGGAGCGGTGTCTTTTATGGGATGGGGGATTCGTTTTGAAGACGAGAGTTTCAATTCTTGTGGGCTAGCAACAAATCCCCTGTACCACTCTTCTCAGGGTTTCTATTGTTCCGGAGCACATATCTGTATTGGTCAGTTAGCAGTCGAACCTCCAGAGTATTGATGGTCATTGGTTCAGATCTGCAGGAAAGTTGGCCCACAGGTTCAAGAAGATGGAAGACACGAAGGTACATTATGTTTGAAAGTTCTGCGTCAGTTATCCTAGTAATTTTAACTTGTTCTTGAGGCCTCAGTCTAGTTCTGCTGCAGCTCAGTAGTAAAAAACATGCATGTCAAGCTTTGGCCCAAAGTTTTTTGAGAAGAAAGAAGCCACACATGATCTGCCCTTGGCAACAGACAGAAGATCCTATTGCTCACTTTTTAAAGTTTGTATCATTCTTAGGTGTTGATGGCTGCAGGTGACACCTTCAGGGCAGCCGCTTCTGAACAACTGGATGTCTGGGCTGAAAGGACAGGTTCAGATATAGAAGTTGGTGAAGGAGAGAAGAAAAGACCTGCTGCAGGTATGAAATCCTGTTCCTGGTAATCTTGACTTTGAGACATTATTCCCAACGAGGGCGAGGATTCTGCTTCTAAGTATTCCTCTTCAACTAATCCAAGTCTTTTTGTTCCGTTCACGCAGTGCTTGCGCAGGCTACGAGACGAGCTGTTGAGGAGGGTTATGACATATTGCTGGCGGACACCTCAGGAAGTACGTAAATTCGGAATGTTTAGCGCTTGAGGTGCCTTATGTAGTGATTTACTCTCGACTTCTCCTTACAGATGGCATTGGGTGTGGTGGCGACAATGGCGCTAAAAAGATTCTGGATGCCGCTTGCAGGACTACACACCAACTTCAATTTAATGGAAGAACTGAGGAATTGTAGGAGATCAATTACGAAAGTATTACCTGGCGCTCCACATGTAAGTGTTTTCGAGTATGGAAATGACTTCCTTTTAATATAGATTCAACGCCAGTGTATGCAGAGCCGAGTGAAAGTCTTAGTTTCATAAATTGAAACCTAGTTGCAATATGTTCTTGAAACAGGAAGTGCTGATGGTGCTGGACGGTACTACTGGGCTGAACATGCTTCCGCAAGCACGCCAGTTTAATCAGGTATAGAACTTCTTTGGTGATGATTTGTAGTTGAGAGTTAAATAAGTTGCGATTCTCCACAGCCTTGACAGTTATTTCCCAAACCAAATTCTTTTCGTTTAATTCTCACCAGTGAATTAGCCTGATCAGCATCAAGACCTTTAGATCTTTTGTTCTAGGTTGCACTAAGGACCTCCTTTGCCTCATGTAGGTTGCTGGGGTCACAGGCTTCATCGTCACGAAGCTTGATGGAACATCTAGAGGAGGCTGTGTGGTACGTACGCCCCCGTTTGACTTAATTGAAGATAGGCCCTAAACAGTTGGCTTTATCTCGTGTGTCTAGTTCTTGTATTGTCGGAATCAGTTACTCAAAGCACTGAATTTTACGTTTAATATCATGGTTATCTGCGCCTGATCTGCCCTTCTAATATTTGTGGATAATTCTTCATAAGCTCTCTTACTGCCGTCAGTGATGTCAAGGTCTTGATGCCTCTGCACTTCTCTTGTGTGAATTCAGGTAAGCGTAGTGGATGAACTTGCCATTCCTGTAAAATTTATAGGAATTGGAGAGAAGTTGGATGACCTACAAGCCTTCGATCCTGAGGCTTTTGTAAATGCTCTCTTCCCATAGAAACGGATTCTCATTTGTATGCGGAGAAATTCTACGCCTGCCATTTAACAAATTTCTTAGTTGTAAATGAAGCTAGTTGCAGACGATAACATGTTACTGAACGCGTTGCCCTTAAATGCTATGAAAGCCTAGAAGCGAGTGGTAATGTTGTGTGATACGGATGAAGCCAGGATGTGATGCACCTATCCGTTCTTCTATGCAAGATCTAGTAGCCTTCTCCATCGGACTGTCACGGATGGTCTTGAACATTGTTGAGCTCACAGTGGTTTACGGGTGGAGGTGGTCAGTCTGTGAGCTTCACCAACACGTCATTCGTGTAGACGGTCGGGAATTGGGCAAGAGGGATCCAGGGCTTGCATAGCAAAAGCGCTGGTTTGTTTGAAATCGAGTCAGTTGAAGACATTCGGGTCATACAGCGGTCTTTGTCATCCCACTTCACCAAGTGGTTATTTCAGTATCAATATGAGAATCTTGTGCCCTGGCAGTGTTTTCTTTTTCTGAGAAGGCCTTGATCAAGTTACCAAAACGGTGGCCGCTGATGCCAAGCGGTCAAATTTGGGAAGTACAGTACTCTGAAGTAGTGTGTGTGGCTACTAGGCGTGCTATCAAACTTTTCAAAGAGAAATACTGCAGTAGTCACCAAGGAGAGTAAACTGCGGTGTGGGCGTCTCTGCCGTGACATCCTCAGGCGGGGAAGAAGACCTCACACCTGAAATATCTAGTCAAGAACAACAAAAAACCTTTTCTCTCCCAAAGTCTTAAACAACACTGAGATAATCGAGGAGCGGAGAATGTGATATATATACTGCGTTTATCGTGTTCATTCTGAGTTATGCCCCAGGAGCTCGCAGTCGGACATCGATGTCTTGAGCATGATCTCAAGACGATGAGAAAACGAATGCGCGAGGCATCTACAAACCGGAAGTGCCCAGACACAATCGCGAGGAATCATCGAGAAATCGACTTCACGGTAAACCGACACGCCGTTGCAGGCATCGTGGTCAGGAACGGTTGCTGATTACGTAGAGCAGTGACGGAGTGGTCTAAATTATCGAGCGCAGTGCCGAGGTGTAAACACAGTAAACACGACACGCCGTCGCAGGCATCGGGTCTCAGGAATGGTCACTGTGGAGGCCAGAATGGTCGAAATGATGAGCCCAGTATTCGGGTGTAGGCCCAGTGAACAATCCGAAGTCTTGGTGAAGAAATCTACGAGAGGAAGCACAGAAGCATGTTGCTTGGGTTCAAGGCTTAAACCCTTAAGGGTTTAGAGTATAAACTTTAGAGTCTAAACTCTTAACGAACCTCAGGGTGTGAACCATGTGCACGCCTCAGTTAGTGGGGATGGCAAGAGAAAGAAGAAAAAGTAAGAATCGAGATGGTTATTATGGAGAAAACTGAGGAGCTGAGTGGAAGTTATGGAGGGTGGAAGTTGCAACGAAAGAGTAGGAGAAAGTATCTATTTCATATGAAGAGAAAATGTCACACTAAGTACTATGTTGACGCGTAAGTCACCGAGCATGGGAATAAGAGAGAAGAAGAAGAGAAAGCAAGAACTTTCGGGTCGAGCAAATAGTGGAGGTCATGGGGATGAAATGCAAGAGTTCGTGGGAGCTACTGCAAAAAAGGAGGAGAAAGTAGTCACTATCGATGAGAGAAAAAAAATTGACAACGCAATCACCTAAGATGGCAAGAAAGAAGAAGAGTGAAAAACAAGATGTTTCTGGTGGAGCACACTTGGGAGATGATGATCAAGGTGTCATGCAAGAGGTCCTAGAGGTGGTCATGGGGATGAAATGCAAGAGTTCGTGAAAGCTACTGCAAAAAAGAAGGAGAAAGTAGTCACTCTCGGTGAAAAGAGAAATTGACGACGTAATCACACAAGATAACAAGAAAGAAGAAGTACAGTAAAAAACAAGATGTTTATGGTGGAGCACACTTGGGAGTTGATGATGATCAAGGTGTCATGCAAGAGGTCCTTGAGGAGGTCATGGGGATGAAATGCAAGAGTTCGTGGAAGCTACTGCAAAAAATAAGTAGAAAGTAGTCACTCTCGGTGAAAAGAGAAATTGACAACGTAATCACACAAGATAACAAGAAAGAATAAGTACATAAACAAAGCGCCCCTTGGGTCCGAAGGAGACTTAAAAACCAAATATTTTTTTTGTTTCTGCTCTTTGCGCCTTCGGCCCTCTCGCATATCGTTCAGCCACTTTAGGGGTTTGCTACAAAGATCTATTGATAATAGGTAGAACTAATTTTATATGTAATTATGAATTGAATCTAGCGTCTGAATAAATTGACTAATTTTATTGATGTTGGTTACGAGAATATGAAAAAAGGCGGGGACAAAGTGGATTCTATGCTATCGGTAACCTGAGCTATAGAGATTACAGTAGAGAGGAGAAACGGCCCATAAAAAAACAAGATGTTTATGGTGGAGCACACTTGGGAATTGATGATGATCAAGGTATCATGCAAGAGTTCGTGGAAGCTATTGCAAAAAAGGAGGAGAAAGTAGTCACTCTCGTGTGAAGAGAGAAAAATTGACAATGTAATCACCTAACATGGCAAGAAAGAAGAAAAAGAGGAAAAAACAAGATGTTTCTGGTGGAGCATACTTGGGAGTTGATGGTGTCATGCAAGAGTTCGTGGAGAAAGTAGTCAGTCTCGTGTGAAGAGAGAAAAATTGACAATGTAATCACCTAAGATGGCAAGAAAGAAGAAAAAGAGGAAAAAACAAGATGGTTCTGGTGGAGCACACTTGGGAGTTGATGGTGATCAAGGTGTCATGGAAGAGGTTGTGGAAGCTAATGTGAGGTGTCATGGAAGAGGTTGTGTCATGGAAGAGGTTGTGGAAGCTAATGTGAGGTGTCATGGAAGAGGTTGTGGAAGCTAATGTGAGGATGAAGAATGTGATTGATGACTCAATCACTAAGGAAGATATGAAGATAGATAAAGAAAAATTAAGAGGAAAAAACAAGATGGTTCTGATGATGAGAAGTTGATGATGATGAGGGTGTCATGTAGAGCTCGTGGAAGTTGCTGCAAAAGAGGAAGAGAAAGTAGTTATTCATGGTAAAGAAAAAAAGGTTGGCGAAGGGAACCATGTTAAAGTCGTAGTCATTGAGTATGGCAAGAAGAAAGAAAATAAGAATCAAGATGATTCTTGTTGAGCACACTTGGAAGTTGATAGTGATCATCGTGTCATACAAGAGGTCATGGAAATTGCTACAAAAGAGTAAAAGAAAGTAGTTACTTCCTGTGAAGAGAAAAAGATTGACCGCAAGACGTTAATTTCCCTAATTTAGGGTTTTCACCCTAACCGAAGGTTAATCCACACGGTTGTTATTTTCTACTAAATTGAAGTTTTTACTTCCTAAAAGTATAGCAACAATGAAGAGTTTCACGAGCTCGGTATACTCTGTGTAGAAAAGTAATAGATTACTTGGTGCATTGGTCCGTAATGCCATCCGTATAGAAATGTTTTTTTTGTGTGTGGAAATATCATTGTCTACCATAACCTTTAGTAATATAGTACTTCACTTGCATTCTTATCAATTCTGAAGTAATTAGATAGTCGGTGTAGAAATATTCTCGTCTACCATAATCCTCAGTAGACAACTTTTTTCAATCACATTCTTCTCATGGTTATAGCAATTTGACATACGTGTGAAAATATCTACATGCACCATTATCCTTAGTAAAAAAAAACTATTTCACATTTTTAGTTTTTCATTTTCATTCTGATCGTGCTTAAAAAAATTTGATAGACAGTGTAGAAATATCTTTTTTAATCATAACCCTTTAGCAGAAATTATTTCAACTCTTTTTTTTATCTACCTGCATACTTATCATGCTTGAAAAAATATAATAGACATATCATGAGAGTCTTTGGTGATACGTGTTTCCCGGCTCAGATAATAAAAAATGTATTCTCTTCTACCCATCCTTGTTTAGCCATACGAGCATGTAACATGGGATTTGTACGACGAAGGGATTTGGCATAAAGATTGTGTATTCTGCCAATGTGGAGTGTTTATTATCCATGAGCCGACGATAATTGTCTGACTTTGGGCCAATTTGTCACATTTGTACATTCTTTTATCTTCTTGTTTCGCGATTAGAGGTTAAAATTTGAAACGTGGATACAATAATACATATTTTCCATATGTTTTTACGTAATACAAAATACTCCTTAACCCTATGATATAACACAAACTCCGGTGTTTTACATTCTAGACTACCCATTGGACTAAAATTTTACAATCAACTCTCATGATACTAGCATGTTGAATATCGAATTTAAGTGCTGGTTCTTCTTCGTACTAGAAAATCCGGTTCACATTGGATCTAGCAAAGATGCAAGCTTTAGATACTGGGTCATGTTGAATGTGGAATTCAGGTGTATTTGGTCATATTTTTGTACCAGAAAAACTCCCTAACTTTGGATCTTGCAAAGATGCAACCTTTAGATATTGGCTTGTATCATATGGAGAACAGAAAGAAGCTATCCACGATTTAATTAGGTGTGTGATGTTTGCCATGGTTAGTGAGTATGGAGAAAGCATATGTATGTTTTACAACTGAGTAGGTTTTGACAAATCTGTATTTGATATGAAATTATCAGGTTATTCTTGTAGATGAGATTTTCAAAGATACAATACACATAGTTTGGCAAATACATGGATGGCAAATATCGACATAAATATAAGCTCTCTAAAAACAAATATAAAGGTTTTTTTTTTGGTTAAATTTCTTCATCAGTTGTTGTTGAAGCATTTAAAACCTTGATGTGTTAACTTATTCCATCATTTCAACTTCATTCAAATTGATATAAAAAATTTGTAAAGAAAATGTCATATATATATATATATATATATATACAGTATATTTCATATTCTACATCTTACAAATTGAAAAAAAAATTATTGAATATTGTGACAAATTTGATGAGGATTTAAGTAAGTTTAAAATTACGATGTTGTATCATACTAAGCATAGATAATTTTTTATTAGACGTTATTAAATTTCATAAATGAAAATATGATAAAAAATTTTCATTTATAATGATTTTATGATATATCTCAATCAATATGTCCTTAGATTATACATGAATGTGCGAGATGATTTCATATCACTTTAAATGGTTGAGTCTAGAAATTAGACAATGTGTCAAATCTTCTGAATAAGAACACTCGATCTACTGTTCTTGACACTCATTATGTACATTGTTAGTTAAAAGAATTTCAAAAGATAAGTTTGTTCAACTACTTAGAATTGATTGGACATGATCTTGAAGAAATTCAACATGTGGAATTCAAGTAACACCCAACACTATTAATTAGCTCATTTATTATAAATAATTAAAAAATTTCTTGTGCGATTGCATGTTATAAAAAGTAATTCATTAAGCGTGAAATTATTGGATGTCATGGAAACAAAATTAGTCAGTAAAATTGAGAAAAAAAAATTTAGCAATCATTCGAAATGATAAACAAAGTTGAGTTGATAAATTTTTGATTCAATTGATTTTCATTTGAAATTTTAGATTCAATTGCGGAAAAAAGTTTGATCTGATACTTTTTTATTTTCCCATGGAAAAAATTAAAAATTAGAAACTGAATTTATCCACAATGTTTAATTATATTTAAAAATAAAATAAAATAAAATAATACTAATGAATTGTTATTAAAAAAATAATAATGCGCCAAATCATAAAGCAAAATGCACTTTTATTTTTTTACATGTATATTTTTACTTTTTAAATATAGAAAATTATTGTAATATTATATGAATTATCATTAATTACATATATTTTTGTTAATTATAAATTTTTTGAAATCTTTGTGAGTCATTACAAATTTTTTTTTATTGATGAATTATCATAACAACAATTTTCTATAACTTTAACTTTGCTCTTTGCCATTATGCATTACTATCAAATTCACATCTTAATCTTAAAGTTTCAATGTAGTTGTGTGTTGAATTTCAATTAACTTGCATCAATGTTATTGTACTCATACATTTATTATAAATGAATTGTCAAAATATGTTTTTCATTTCAATTTTTTTTGGACTTCTTTGCATCACATGACTTGAATAATCTTTATATTGTCACGATATTGGTAAGTGAATTTAGATTTTGTGCAAAAATCATAAAATTGATCACAGTTTTATATATTTTTTAAATTGCATTGTCTTAAAATTGTAAAAAAAATCCTTGACATCTCTTATGATCAAGCTGATGTAGATTAGGCATATGATTATTTGTGTCTAATCTAAATCAAATTATGCACAAGTTCCTAATGAGATTAGGCACAATTATGCATCATTGCTTACTAGGAACCCAAGATAGATATTTTGATCAATTTCAATTCACCTTTACAAAGTAAGAAATCTATGTGCAAATTAGTTTATCAATTTCATCAAGATCTTAGAGAAAAAGAATTCTATGTGAGGGTTTATTGATCAATTTCAACTCAAACTTCTCATAGAAATAACTCGACATGAAGAAATTTCAGATCTAAGTAAATTTCTCTCAATAGCATCAAGTACGTACCGAATCAAATTAAATTAATTGATCAAAATAATCTAAAAGCGGCTCAAATTGATCAAATTTTTTTTTCAAATTTTGATCTTGCTTACTCTCGCAACGATTTCGATTTCACTTCCTTCCGATTTTGTTTAATTTGAGTTGGTTACATATCTTTATCCCGATATTTCATACGCACACACGTAATAAATTGAAGTAACCTTCCATCAAGTTCAAAGTTTACTTCTATCATTTGCAAGAAATATGGAATCAAATATGAAAACAAAAAATTCATGATTTATTGCTGTAAGGTGCGCAACATATCATACTGTTTATATTGGAAAAATACTTCTAGAGAAAAATTGGTCAATAACATGTTAGATACGTTCTTCTTGAATTTCAACATTAAGAAGTCATTATCGCCCAGTGTTGTATTTGAAAACAATGAATCTAGGCCACCAACAAAATCAACTAAAAAATTGAAACGGCTTGACAAACATGGCAGTGACCATGCATCGTTAAACAAACATGTTTGTCAAGATGTTCCAGTGATCGCTGGTATCTATAGCTTCCTTACACGCTGAGACATTCTTGTAATGGTGCAAAGCTCTGCAAATTGGAACTAAATTTTGTCAATTTCAAAGAGAGATCAATTACAATCAAAACGAGACTTCTATTGGATGATAAGACGGTTGATATCACGACCTTTAAGCTTCACTAGTTCAAATGTATACATGAATGGACAATCCAAATTGCTACTTGAACCACTTTCATCTTGGAATGTTAAGCAATACATAAATCTATCGACGATGTCAAATATAAAGAACCCAACGTTTCAAAGAAGTACTTGTTGAGTTGGTTCATTAAGATTGTTGATTATAGTCAAAGCAAAATTCCCAAGATCTTCAATGAGACCTATGATGTCAATATAGGAAGTAGACCAATTGTTGCATATCACATAAATGAATTTGTTCACATTTTTTGAGTTGGAATTGTGAATTGCACTAATCTTAAACAGTAACTCACCAATTAATAGTTGAACATGTGTTTGTTATTGGCTAAGCGTCAGAAAATGATGATGGACTTGCATCACCGTTGTATGTATGGCACTTGTGATATTCTTCTAACATCATTTAGAATTCACCAAATGTTACTTTCAGGTTGAGATGCATGTCAAGAAGAGTTTATTAGAAGTTCAAATTAATGGGCACTAATTTCATGATGATGATCATCGAACACTAAACATGATGTGTTATCGAGTCGCAGATCTTTTAAATCAAGTTGATTTCATCTTGCAAATAAGCTTCTATGGTCAACAAAGGTACGAGATCATACATACTATTGTTGCATGCCATGCATCCCTATCAAAATCTGCCTCATGTTACATAATGTCCAATTGATGGAAAATACATCACACACGAATGAACTTTTCCCGTGAACATTGTTGAAGACTCGTGATAACACTAACAACATGATTAGTTATGTTTTGAATTCCCTCTAACGATGCACAAATTAATTAATCTCTTCATTTGGGAAAGAGCACATCAAAAAGCTAGTATCACAAAACAAAACGAGCACAAACATCTATGTATGAAGTATCCATGCAAATTGAGGCATCCACCGCGATTGAGGTCGCTCATTTCATGCATAGGATATGAGAATTGATATGGAAATTGGCACTGTATTGAACGTGTACAAATGTAGCAATTTTCAAATCATTCATTCAGTCGAGCTTGAAGACCATGGTAATTATCTTTGTTGTTTGAAGCTCCAACTGAATATGCTTGAGACTAAGACCAATGCCAATGTATTTTATTGCAAGCTGTTATGTCATTGGGGTTTTGGTAGTCACAAATAATTACACGTGTGATTATTTAACATGAATAGACGCATTGCTTTTTCATAGATTTGGCCTTCAAAATCTTCAGGATTCCATAACATTTCTTTGATGATGAACTCAACTATGCACTTTTCAATGAAACAAGTTACATGATGGATAACAATGGTCCAAATGTAACAAAATTGTGTTCACAAAGTGTACTTCCATGTCAAAGTATATCAGCTTACTTTTTTTAGAAAGTATCCGATACTTCTCTCAACGGATTGGATGCTTGCTTTTGAAATGAATGCGGTAGTTCTCGGTACGAAATGCTGGACCAAACATCTTCTTTGTGGTCGCTTTTGGACACTTTGCATCAATTTTGCTCTCACTACCCAATGCTATACAAAATCTGCATGCAACGACAATGATCCGACTCGTGGCAGCATCTCTCTCTGAAATCTGAATTCCATATTCTTGTTGATGCAACGAATTGAAAGGTATCATGCGTGTCGGCACCGCATTCAAACGTTTTGCAGTTCCAATCATTTGAAAACTTGTGAGTTGATTTTCAATCAAATGAGTTTCACAACTTGTCGTTGTGAAACTACTCCAAAAGTAATTTTGAGATTAGTACTTCAAGAGATTTGAGATTAGTAATATTAGGCAATTATTTTTAAAATGACTAATGTACAAAGTCTTGCTTATGATGCATCATGACAATTATTTGAAAATAATAATTGCCACGATGAAGATCATAATTGAAATCATTCAGACTCAAAGATTATTTGTATTTTGAGATTAATAATCATATAAGAAGTATTTTTTGGCAAAAATATTATAAAGAATACATGAATTTCTTTAGCAATACTGGTTTTTTAAACTAAAAACCTTAATTTATGTCATGGAGCATAATATTGATAAGTATTGATAATTAGTTGAACTTATACCGGTTAAAGTTACAAATACTAATCAAGATCTAAGTAAACTACTAACATCTACTGGCAAGTATTTGAAATAATTTCAAAATTGAAAATTTATGTGATCAAATTAAAAATCAGTTTTACTATGAATTTTATTGAGAAAAAAATGAGATCTGATTACTCTTTGAAATAATCTTTCAAATATAGATGTATATCACTATGTCATGTCATATGTAATATGCAAACCAAAATAACGTGTTTAAAATGTGACCATGTGAATTTTATTCATGGAAGTGGGGATTTCATCCAATCTCTTAGAAACCCTTCAAATTTTTTGGTGGAAAAAATCTGCAACTTTAAGGTTAATTTGCAATTGAAGAAGCGTGTCTGGAGCTAGTTTGATTTTATTTGTTCAATTTTGCTTGACTCAAAATTGAGATGTAGGCAATGGGTTTTTTTTATGTATATACTGTTTTAGGTTGTTATAAATGTGGTTGTTGTTGAAAATAATACTCAGAATCAAAACGATAGGCTTTAGTAGATTTTCGAACATTTGATTTGCTTGGGAAGGATAATGGTTGACCGCTTGACATGGGTTTTGGTCTGGATTGAATAAAAAACATCATCTATATATATTTACAAGGTTCCATCACTTTTATTTGAGTGTCCGTGGTCCACTCAAATGTAGCGAAACAAATTTGCTACGATTGTAGAATCACGACTTGAAATTCCTCTAAATGGAGGCAAATCGACGGTCTCGAGCTCAAAAAATTGCTTCATTTACTTTCTTAACATTGTACTGGCCGTGACTCTCGGGTTCTCTCAACTGTTTGAGTGTTCCGTACAAAAATTTTACAACAGTACTGCATGTCTTCCTTATTGGCGGGAAAAATGACTAAATGACCATTGATATGGGAAAAAAGAGATTGGTGTAAAACAAATAATGCAATCCCCATTTTGTTTGATTTTTATTCTACGCCTGTAATAAAACAACAGCAAAAAAAAACCTGAAAGTAAAGTAATGTAACTGAATGCTTTTGTCCATTTACAAGATGCGAAATAGGTCACATAATGTAAAACCCTATCTACATTACATGGGCAATGAACTAATGATTCTACTTAAATAGAAAATGAGCCCGATTAAGCACTTCGACTGATCCAGAGACAATAACTCACTATTTTTAATAAGCGTCCCATAATTCACATGAATCTCATGCAAGGCACAAGATAGACGAGACGAGGACTGTCGTGGTCGATTCTCGTTCAGAATTGGTGCTTAGAGAGATGCGGGCGAAATTAGCAGCTGCTGCGTCTGAGGAGATCACGAATTGACGAGGGAGTGTCCTGAAGGGGCTTCATAATGACGGCCTTATAGTAAGCACGAGAGAAACGCGTGTGCCTGCGCAGGTGGGGAGGGCTGCTGTCCCAGATTAGCAGCCCTTGACAAGGAGCTCATCATGAAAACATATGAAACAAATGAAAGGCGAAACAGCACTGTTTCTCGAATAGGCAGGGAGGCGAAGCATCGCTGTCCTTTCTTTAGACTGTGATGAGCAGCTTATCATGCAAACGTTTGAACGAGAGGAGATTCGCTCGCGGGCTCCTCTTCGGAGGGGGTGTGTGCTTGGGCCCCTCTCTCGCTTTTGGCTGCTCTGCCAATCGTCGTCCTTCCCAGGCTCGCCTGTTATCTGATGACTCACTGACACTGCCTACGAACACAACAAATGATGATGTGCGTATGCCGAATCGCGTCGCTTGTCCAGTCAACTCAGACCGTTCTGCTGCCATTGATTGAGCTCCAGGGTCCCCCACATGGCCTTCCTTTAATCTCTGTCTTGTCCGCGTCTGGATTCCGTGTCCTTCTGCCGGAGCTTTCCTTCCTATAGCACACAATTCCTCTCGCGAATGCTCGTCGAGTTTACTGGCTCGGAACGCATGATAAAAACTCCTCGCTGGAGATTTCGCGGGTAAATGATTAATTAACGACGAGGATCCATGCGACTTACGGCGCTGCAGCTGCAGCTCCAGCTGCAGGAGAACGGATCCGAGAACGACTGATTCGAACATCTTATACCAGACTGAGAGGTTTAAAAAAAGGGTCTGGTTGACGATTCGATCCATGAGCACATGTTCGTTCCGAAGCCTGTGGATGGATGAAGAAGGATTCCAACTCCGATCACGGTCGATGTCGAAGGCCTGGAGCCAGTCAGACAAGGCAAGTCAGCCAGGTGGTTGTTCAGTACGTGCATGGCGCTCGGTAAGCGGACGAGGCTGGAGATTCTGGATCATCTTGCCCGGCCCCGGCCCGGAGTCCCGCCATTCTTACACCCTCGGCCTCCGTGGTCAGAAGATCAGAGCCCCGTAATTACGCTCGGCCTCAATCGTAAATACTCCCACACCTGAACCAATTCACATCAGACCCCGCAGACAAGACATCACAAGTACGTGACCCCGGCGGCAAGCGTCTTGATGGCGCTACGAAGATTGCCATCTCTGATGCTCCAGCTGCCTGGCCAGCCCGCCATCACTACGCTCTGCAGGCTGTCTCACGATCCGCATTCCTTCCCTTCCCCTCTCCTCCCGGGGCATAATTAGCGTCCAGCAAGCGAAGCTTCGCCGGGGTGGTGCCTTCAATCCGCGAGCGAGGATGCCCAAGGGAGATCGAGCGGCGCCGTGATCGGTCTGTGTTCCAGTGGGGGGAGCTTTGTAATGCGCTCGTAGCGCCGCGGGGCTGGGAGATAGAGATTGATAGATAGATAGAGAACTTGGACCGACAGGGGGGGAAGAGCGGCCAGCACCAATGTTTCCCATGGCGCCTGCGGGGAACTTCGAGGGCGACGTGAAGCGCGTCGTGAGCGAGCTCGGGGGGCACCACGGGCGCGTAGCTGCAGCAGCAGTGGCGGCGGCGGACGTCGAAGGGGGTCGATTTCATGAAGCGAATGCGATCGCGAATTCGAGCGCGAATGCGAACGCGGCGCGAGTGAGCGACGAGGAGACGGCGCGAGCGCGGGCGGGCGCGTCGCCGGGGGGCGTCGGGGAGAAGGCGTTCACGGCGCGGTTGAACATAATCGACCTGGACGAGGACCTGAGGAGGAACTGGAAGGTGGCGGTGGAGGGAGGCCCGAGGAAGAGCTTCGCGGTGGACGTGGAGGCGGCGGGGGCGGGCGCGGACCCCAGGAAGAACTGGGCGCTGGCGGTGGAGGACGGGCCCCGGCGGAGCTTCGCGGTGGAGCCGGTCACCGAGAGCATGGGCGCCGGCGGCATGGACCTGCTGGCGCGCAAGAGCATCTCGCTCGAGGGCATCTGGCAGGGCGAGGCCGAGCCCCGGCGCAGCTTCTCGTACGAGGACGCCGCGGCGCTCACGCCCCGGCGCAGCAGCTGGAGCCTCGACGTCGCGCCGCCCCGCAAGAGCGCCGACGGCAAGCGCCACAGCGAGGGCGACCGGCGCAAGAGCAAGTCGCCCTCGTTCCTCGCCTTCCCCTGCGAGCCGCGCGACATGAGCATGGAGCTCGCCAAATTGACCATCATGCCTCCTTTGAACGAGTCCGTCGAATCCACTCCCAAGCTCAGCGCCACTCTCCCCGTCTCCCTCAAGGTCAGTCTGATTGATCCCCCGCCTGATTTGGATCCTTATATGGTCATGTCGTCGTCGTTGAGTTTGTTGCCTCCTTCCAACGTGCCTTTCAATGTCAGTCTGATTGATGCCGCACCTGATTTGGATCCCTGCATGGTCCTGTCGTCGTTGATTTCGTTGCCTCCTTTTGACGTGCCTTTCAACTTGCATGATGTTGTGAGCTCGGGAGAGAGTGACCTCCACTCTCCCCGTCTCCCTGAAGGTCAGTCTGATTCATGCCCCGCCTGATTTGGATCCTTGCATGATTCTGTCGTCGTTGATTTTGTTGCGTCCTTTCGACGTCCTTTTGATTTTGTATGATGTTGTGAGGGCGCTGAAATTTGCGTGATTGGGTTCAGTTCGAGAACATCGAGTACCGCGTATCGAACGAATTCGAGAGCTCCTGGAAGGACGTGAAGAGCTGGGGGCAAAAGTTCCGCAGGGCAAGGCGGGAGAGAGTGATTCTGCATGGGATCAGCGGAAGGGTGCATCCCGGGGAGATGCTGGGGATGCTGGGGCCGTCGGGGAGTGGGAAGACGTCGCTGCTGCAGATCCTCGCTGGTCGCTGCTCCAAGTACGAGGGAACAATCACTCACAACGACGTGCCGTTCGTCAAGGCCATGACTCGGAGAACCGGCCTCGTGACGCAGGACGACATTCTCTACGCGCATCTGACAGTGCGGGAAACTTTGGTCTGCGCTGCTCTGCTCAGATTGCCTCGTGAATTGTCCAGGAAGGAGAAGCTGCGCCGAGCTCAGGACGTGATCACCGAGCTGGGATTGGAGCGGTGTCACAACACCATGGTGGGCGGAAGCTACGTCCGAGGAGTTTCTGGAGGGGAGAGGAAGCGGGTGAGCATCGGGTGCGAGATGCTCACGGACCCGAGCCTGTTGCTGCTGGATGAGCCGACCTCGGGACTCGACTCCACCGCCGCTCTAAGTATGGTGAGAACTATGAGAAATCTGGCCCAAAGCGGGAAAACCATCATTTCTACAATTCATCAGCCGTCCAGTGTAATATTTCACATGTTCGATAAGGTGTTACTCCTCTCTGAAGGGCAGCCCATGTTCTACGGCAAGGGAAGTGCAGCACTCGACTACTTCGAGTCCATCGGGTTCCACCCAACCTTCGCCACAAACCCCGCCGACTTTCTTCTCGACCTTGCGAATGGTGAGCTTCTCCTTCCTGTGAGACTGTCAGTCGTTCGAGCATGTCGGTCGCAGGTGGATTCTCAGTGGAAATTCTCGTCGCGGATATGGTTACTGACAGTCTCGTACACGCTCGTAGAACTGTCCTTGGCTGGCTGTGCTATCCCTGGCCGAAGAAATTATTGGCTTCATTTACATGGTGGGGTTTTTCATGGAGTGTCTGATTTAGCCCATTCGGTTTGGGTCTCTTCTCCTTCTGCAGGAGTTACACACAACCTGGATGATCTGCACCGCGAAGTATCATCGGCTGTCCCCAGAAGGAGGCGGGCCAAAGACCAAGCCGAGGAACGTAACTGCGTGAAGAAGATTCTGAAGGAAGCCTACATAGCACACATTGTGCAGGAGAGCAAAACCGAGTCCATGTCACGCGAGCTGAAGCCGAAAACATTCCAGGAAATGGAGAGCTACCATGGTCAGTTCCTGAGTTGCTATTCTCTCAAGTTTGTCTTTTATCGAAAGCCAAAGCTGGCATCTGAGCATAGGTTGAGCATGCGTCTCAGTGATCCACTTGGGGGGCTCCACACGTGCTTTATATTTTCTTCTGACGGCTGTATCCCATTCCCTCGTATGTTGCAGACACCGTGAGCAAAAGAGAGTGGTCAACGTCTTGGCCGCAGCAATTCGCCATCCTGTCTCGTAGAGCTTTGAAGGAGAGAAGACACGATAGCTTCAGTGCTCCTCGAATATTGGAAACTTTGTTGGTGGCTGTAATTTCTGGACTCATATGGTGGGACTCGTCTGATAAGATCGAAGACCAGGTGAGCTAGCAAAGCCAACCAAATTATGTTTCCAATATCCACTGCAAGTGTCTTATCTCCCCAATATCAACCTGAGAATGCTCTGAACGTGACTGGAGCTCTCGTATTCTTTTGCAGGTGGGCCTACTCTTCTTTTCGTCCACCATTTGGGGATTCTTCCCTCTGTTCAACTCAATTTTCACTTTCCCCCAAGAGCGTGATATGCTCAGGAAGGAGAGATCGTCGGGAATGTACAGACTGTCAGCGTACTTTCTAGCCCAGTCGACTGTGGACGTACCGATGGAGCTGGTGTTGCCCTTCATATACATGGTCATCGTCTACTGGATGGGGGGGCTCAAGGCAAATGCTGTGGCTTTTCTCGCCACGTGCGCAGCTGTTATGTCCAACGTTTTGGTGGCCCAAGGCTTGGGCCTGGCAATCGGTGCAGTTTGCATGAATATCAAACATGCGTCGACTTCAGCATCGGTGATGATGCTCACCTTTCTTCTGGCCGGAGGATTCTACGCCAAAGATATTGCTCCCGCTCTCAGATGGCTCAAATACGTTTCCTTCAGCTACCACGGATTCAAGCTCGAGCTCAACTCTCAGTTCGGTGCCGATGATGAGTACCCTTGTAGCACGGGCCAGTGTCGGGTAGCCGATATCGATGCCGTCTCAACAGTCGGCTTGGGTGGGAACTTGGTCTCAGCACTAGCTATGCTTGGGCTGTTTGTAGGATTCCGCCTCATTGCCTACATAGCTCTCAGACGTACCAAGATTTGAGTACGAGTGAACTGCAGTTGGAAAATATTTCCCCAACATTGTATAGTTGCGTCGATCAGATGAAACGTCGTCGTGTTAGGTGTACAATTCTCAAGTAGGAACGCCAACGAGGTCTTGCAGCTGCCTCGTGTCCAATGTACCATATCTGGGATGAGCCTTCAAAAGGGTGTAAGTAAAGCATGTAAAAATATTTCCATATTCGGCGCTCTTTGTCTCTCTACTTCTGGACCACAGTAGCACGCTGAATGTATTGTTCCACGCATACATCCTTCTCCATCAGTATCTGGACATGTCAAGAAGAGCACGTAACAAGTGGCAATGAGGTGAAAGATTCATGCAGTTAACGATCCAGTGAACCACAAAATGCGTTGGATACTGTATTTAAGAGCGATCGTTCAGGCAAACTTCTGTGACGGTAATCAGGAACCACCAGTGAGTCAAACTCACCAACAACATATCTCTTAGCCTGCGTTACAAACCATGTCGAACGAATAACTGGCAAAGATACACATGAACCATACATTTGCCGTCCTATTGGCTGTGCCGGAACTACTCGAACTGTACTCCAATTTCTGGACGTTTTTTCTCTCAAATGATTATGGAACTTTAACTCTTGCACACTTAAGTTCATCAATTGACACCCTCAGAAAAAACATTGGTCAACATAACAATATGACTCTGCCAACCAGAGTGAGCAACACAACAGTTAATATCACCTTTATTCCACTGATGGACATTTTCCGTCGCTACAACTCGGCACCTCATACCCTTCTTACCCGAGTCTCCGCACAAGACGTTGTTCTGCTCAGCAGATCACTAATGTTTTTAGACCACCACTTACCATCTAATGCATTGACACGACGTATATAAGAAAAGTCAACAAGTCAATTTTGGGTGTTCCATTGAAGGTTCGAGGTTGTACGTACCAAGCGTCTATTGGACGTTCCCAATTGCTGCAAACAGCAAAGGTATATAAGAAAAGTCAACAAGTCAATTTTGGGTGTTCCATTGAAGGTTCGAGGTTGTACGTACCAAGCGTCTATTGGACGTTCCCAATTGCTGCAAACAGCAAAGGTATTAGTCTTTTAGAAATATACGCATCCTCTGAAACGAATGAATCAGCTATTCTAGGACCACTACACCAGTTGTACCCATGAGTCATGACGTGCAACGTGAATTCGACATGCAATTTTTCCCTCTTGATCAACATTGGCCCGAGGTTCAATTGTATTTTAAGCTGACCCCGTCTCCCCTGCTACTGGGAGTACAAGGATGCTGCTCGAGACACAAAAAACTTGTTCCAACTACTCACAAACACAGTGAATCATGCAGTTCTTTCTTAGTGTAGGTGCACTGCAGTTGCCCGAAATGCCCTTCGGAATATAGCTATCTTTAGCACGAATAGCCAACAATTAAAGTTGGCTGATGAACTATGGCTTAAATCGCCCTTTGGTTGTTTCTGGAAAATGGATGTGGTCGTTTACTGTTGTAAAATGTGATCATTGACAGTCTGTAAGTGCACTGTGAAATTTGATCTTCTATTTTCTTTTTCATGAGTTCATCAAAAGAGGTCAATAATGTCTTATTGAAGGTGTAAGAAAACCCAAAAATATACTGTTTAACTCCCCAAAATGAATATTTTATTTAGTATTGATTTATAACTTAATTAAGTTTAATTTGTGTTTAATTTCGTAGTTTTCTTCAAAAAGTGTTTATATAATCTCTGTCGTAATAATCTCTGTGTCAATCTTCTCAAAGAACAAATATTGCATCAGGATGAGAAACAGATCAGGCATTCACTCGAGACACATGTCGAACATCGGTAGTAGTAAAACTATGACACATTTCGTGGTCCACTCATGTCTTGAGACAAGAGCGATCTTTTTGACATTATCACAAAATCTAGTCAACGTTGGAATTCTCCGCAAGTCACCGTTAGGTCCATCCTTACTCAAGGAGGCAATGCAATGCTTTGAATATGAGTTGTGCTTATAATTGTGATTGTGGTACTTTCATTAAAAAAGATTCCAGACATCTGCTCTGGAGCTTCTGCAGTACTGCCGACTACGTTAATAAGGTACGGAACTCTAAGTAAATGTGCCTCAGCATGTTGATGAAGAATGTTTCCACTGAGCACGGGAGAAAGCAACTCGATGAGGCATTAAAGCCAGAGCATAGCAATGCCCGATTCCCAAAGCCATACCTGACATCACTTTAAAGGTTCTCGAAATTTGTTTATAATGTGAAGCACCTTGATTTCTACGCACAGATTCCAGCACAAAAGGTTCCAGTCTTCAAGGAGGAAAAGGTACTTCGCCGTGAGAAAAAGCTGCACTTTGAGTCGACTCGCACCATTCCGACAGAGGTCCCATAAAGATGAGGCCCAAGTGAATGATACTTTCTTTGCTTAACACTTTTTCCATAGCTGTCCCAAGTGCCTCGTTCAGGTCACTGTCTACAGACACTGAACACTGGACCAAGTTTCGATACATTCATCAACTAATCATCACATCATGAACTGGAGAACTATAACATAACATCATTTGCTGGCAAAGTTCAGGCTTCAGACGGTGCAGTCAGTTTACTGATTGGCTCGGAGAAACAGAGTGTGCCAGACTTGTGCACTGTGAACTTCAGCGAGCTCTGTGTTTTGACATAGATGTACATAAATCACATGATCTCTTTGCGAATAGCGAACCTGCTGGGTTCTTGAGAAAGTCGTCGTATTTTATAGAACGTCTTTGTAAATATTGCGATTTTTCTGTACTCAGTGTTCTTCTTTTCTTCATTATGCCACTCAAGACAAAGGGTAGAAAAGTACTCGATGGGACGCCGCGATACATTTTACCCATGGAGAGAGAAACCAAAAGTCACGATAGTTGTAAAACGAAATTCTTGTAATACGATAGTTGGAGGCTATAGTGTGGGAGATTACTTCGGCAATGACTCTGAAGTTGGAGCAATTCCCTCCATTGTAACCTTGTTCCCGTTTTGATTTGAGGTATACCATTGATACCAATCTCGATTCTGTCCAAGAGTTGAATCCGAAATAGCTGCATCTTACAGTGCTCTGAGGTAGTAATTGAGCACTGTTTTTAAGAAGCTAGAAAATTGGTCTCTTGTGTAGCTATAAGCAATCCATTGAGGGGTGTGGTTGTATCAAAAGTGAGTAGAGTCAAGACAAACTTCACTTGAGTAGATTGAACTCAAGACCTCCGGTCTCACAAGTCTAAACTTTCAAGCTTAGTATATTAATCTTGATGAGTAATTTTTTTACATGAGTTGAAACTAAAAATCATTCTCACGAACATCACAAGATATAAGTTTAAGTGTTTGACACGATTATAAGATATGAAATTGTACGTGTGATTTAGTTATAACTATGTTCCGCAATAACATGTCACTGGTCTACATAAACTTTCTAGAATCTTCTTTTTCCTTAGTCTGAAATGATGACATGTCATTGGTTAGCTTGAAATTTTTAGAATTTCTTCTTGCCACTAAACTAAACTTTAGATTTAGTTTAATCAATATAATAAATCAAAAAAATCAAAATTAATATGTAGTCAAAATGTTCTATCATTGAGATTTAGACTTTGATATATGACAAAAAAGAAATGTTCATTTATCGTTTTAAATAATAATTTAGTTATTCCGCATAATATAGACATGACGGCCGTCACAAAATCTTGAGTAACAGAAATCTACATGGTTAAATATAATGTACGTGGTGAACTTATGCTTTGGGAACGACAAGTTAAAGACAAACTGAAGAACACCAATCTAGACAAGCTGTTAAAGTTAAAAATTGTGCACTTCCAATGATGACAATTAGAAAAATCTTCAAAAACAAACTATGAATATTTTTATATTACATTTGCAATCTCAAGCAATTTGATAAATATGATATTTAGATGTTGTTTGAAACTCTTTAATGACGATTATATTGCAAAGAGTTTTCAAACATGTTGTATGTTTATTTAAAATTAATGAGCTTCAAAATAAAATATACTAACATGAAAATTCAAAGTCACATCGATGGTTTCGATGATCTCTTTGTTGATTTTCAAAATCTTGAAAACGAGATAAGTATTGAGAGAAAAGACTTTCATCTTTTAAGCTCATTATTTGCATGTTATCAAGCATTGTTAAAGAATTAGGTAGATCAATGACAAGTTGTCACGTCAAACAAATTAATCATACCTACTAATGTTTATCTTCATGAAAATACGTTAGATAATAATTTTCATAAAATTTAACTATTATTTCTTAAATTTTATATTCAAAGGGTTGGATAAAGAAATCTTAAAAAAATTGAAGAAATCATTGTGTGAAATTTTTTTTCATTAATGAAAGTTAGATTCTGCAAAATATCTTGGAATGTTGATCAATTTTGATCTCGAATGATGAGGGGAGAGTTTGTTTAGAATATTGTTTAGATTCAAGCATAAATCGGATTTCAAACTTCTAGATTCATAATGATTAGCAAAAAGTCATGGGAGCTAAATCTCTTAGGTCACTTTGCTAGTTCATCATGAATAAGAATAGGAGTCATTCCAGATATCAAAGAGTTGCCAAATCAATAGTGAATAAGAAAAAATATAGATTCATTATAAACTTGTGTTGCGGCTTGATGAATTAATATATGGTGACAAAAAATATATTTCTTACTTTGTATGAATGATTTTTTAATCAACTTCAATGAGCAAAGTGTTCAATTAAATTGAATTCGAGGAGTAGCTACAACCAAATTTAATTTATGGATGAAGTCATTCACAATATAGCTTTTTGTACTATGCCATTTTGAATATACAATATTGTATTTTGATTTCATTATGCAACTACAACATTCATGGATGCGATAAATGATATTTTTTGTTTTTAGTTAAACACATATCTAATTGTGTTGATTTGAGTAATTATATGCATCATTTGTGAAAAATACATTAAATTTTGTGGAATATCAACTTATATGTCAGAGTTTGGAAAAAATGAGTTTGACAAATCACATGTAAATTACTTGGATCATAAAGTTTCACCAAAAAAATACTAATGGTGGATGAAAATATATAGCAATACTTACATGCTTGATAAACATAGTATTGATGAAAATACTGCAGGTTGATGCTTCAGCTTCTTGTGATGTTACTGCATTCTCCTTCTTCACACACGTAGACA